TTAAGAATAACAGTTTTGTTGATAAATTAAATGAGAGAGGGGGATGATAAAATAGAATGATAGCAAAACTGGTATAATAATCAATTAAGATTTATTTTTTGTGTACAAGTTAATCGATATGAATTCCTCTGGAAATGATTCATAATAGATAACATTTTGAAAGATTTTAATATTTGTTTAGTTCTTGGCACGTTACTGTTTATAAATGATTGATTATTGGGTGGTGATCAATGTCATATATGTCAGGTTCTTTGTAGTATTATCTCTAACTACTATCTCATAGTAATGTAGTGCATACAATGTCGAGTCACCTAGACTAGTAGTCACATTGTAACTTGATCGATAGAATTCGATTTGAACTAAGAAGGACCTGATATATATATATATATATATATATATATATATATATATATATATATATATATATATATATATGACAGTGATCAGCAAACAGTGATCAATCAATTGTAAATACATCTCAGCCCTACAGGAGGTTAATCGCAACCCGGATAGTTCAGTAGTAAAGTCTCTCATTATGAAGCTAGTGACACGGGATTGAATCTGCCAAGGAGCATTAGTTCTCTCAAGATTACAGCTACACCTTGCTGATGAGTGCCAAATAGCACGAAACCTAGGTCCAGGGTTTTCTGCTGACTACCTTCAACTACCGACTTATGTTACTGTTTGAATACATACTGTTTAAAAATTATTTCATTTTTAAACAAAAGATTAGACCGAAAGATATTTAACCATATAATTCATATACTTTCTTATAAACAATTGCAAAATCTGTGCAGATATACACTCATGACCATAAAAATGAATGTTACATATAAGTGAACAGAGATATAAAGGTGAACTGTTTAAAAAGACGTGATACATCAATTATTTTGACAGAACATTTGTCACAAGGATAATAATTATGTAAACCAATGATTGGGAACCAGTAATTCTTAATAGGTGGACTAAGAAATCGTGAAACGCGATTTCAGAGCCGTTAATGTATATATATATATATATATATATATATATATATATATATATATATATCAGGATTCAGTGGATAACGCGATGGTGTTTGAAGCGAGCGGTACTGGGTTCGAGTTCCAGAGTGAACATCAACTCTGAGATGCAGGTACATCCTACTGACGAGTCCCAAATAGGACAAAACGCGCATCACACTGGATTCCACTATTAGCCACTATTCATCTTTGCTTATAAAGCTTGTGACCTAATGCAGTCCGTACAGGAAGCACATATGTCAACAAGAGACTGATCAATTGCAGTCTTAAATAACAATGGGAAGATACAAATAAGCAACATTAAGTAAAGTAATTATAATCGTCAACAACTAATTAGACGAAAACGAAAACAGAGAGCATGGAATAATAACGTCAAGAATTATTTTGATAAGTATGTCATTTTATATATACTAGATTGTTTTGTGACCTATCAATTTGGATAGATATTATTTTAACTAATCACGTTAATCAGGGAGTGTAGAGTATCTGCAAGAAGGAAAGTTTAATAAATATCCTTAGTAAAACCAATGACTAGAAATTCAATATCCCTATGATTTCATCAGTGAGATGACATAGTCAATGATGTAAGCATATTCAAGGCGATTTCAGAGGAAAAGTCATTGCTGATGTAACGAACATAAAATTGTAGTAATTTTGTTTCACGGAGATGGAAAGACATTAATCCAGAGTCTCGATAATTTACTTGCAAAGTGATTCATATTGGAAGATTTAGAGTGAAACAATGTGACTTTAAATAGAGTTATGTATGTTATAACTAGATGTTTCTGTACATTAGGTTGCATTAGTGGATGAAAACGATAACGTACTCAGTATTTTAGAGAAAAAGATTTGATACATTTCAAGCATCTCCTTTAATAAATAAAAGTTCTAGCTTAATCGATCTCGATTTGTACTTTGAAGTACAACCATTAGCAAGAGTGAGAAGTGCATAAAGCCGCCGAAACAATTTCAACCTAAGCTCATCGCTCATGAGAACAATACTCAGAATATAAGTACGGTATTCTAGGAACAGTCAGACACATTTTTCGCACAGCGAAATATGAGTCGTTTTTATAGGGGTCACGAAGTATACAAGAGCACCGCCAAGTTGAATCTACTCGTTTCTGTAGCTATTCGATTAGTCCTCCCTGTCTCCCACATAGTCCGGACATTCAACGTATCTATATTATTTGTTGCTCTGCTTGTTAGAAGCGGCATCAGCCTAATGACTTCCGAAGAATCTCGACTTTCACTATGAGGCGTCATAATTCTTCTGAGTGAAGATCTCCCAACTCCCATGCTTTAAACTGTTGATTCTGGTTAGCGTTTTTTGGCAAGGTTGTTTTCTACGGGATGAGGTCGCTGATTCAATGTCCAACCCTCCTCCTTTACCTGGGCTTAGGAAATATATAGTAAACCAGAGAGACGAACCAGGGACAAATAATGCAAACCAGTCACTGAGATTCCGGGACAGAGGAACAGATGGGCAGAATACTTCCAGCAACTCTTGAATGAATCCACCGGACATCGAAACAGCACAAATAGACCTTCCTATAGTTGTCATCCTACCAACGAAGCCAGCACGGCAATGGGAAAAATCAAGAGCGGGAAAGCAGAAAGATCAGACAATGTAACAGCCGGAGCATTGAAGTCAGACATAGAAGTAACGGTAGAAATGCTCCACGTTCTATTTGGGAAGATTTGGGAGGAGGAACAAGTGCTGACAGACTGGAAAGAAGCATATCTCATCAAGATACCAAAGGAAGATCTGAGCAAATGCCAGAATTATAGAGGCACCACACTACTGTCAGTACCAGGAAGTTTTCAATAGAATGTTACCCAACCAGATGAAAGACTCAGTGGACGTCTGACTACGAGATCAACAGGCCGGATTCTGTATAGGTCGGTCGTACACAGATCAAATCTAATATTACGGTCAGCGTTGAACAATCAATTGGATAGAACTCGTCAATATAAATCATTTGACAGTATGGATAGGAGGACCTTATGGAGCCTTCTTCGACACTGGTGTACCTGGGCAAATCGTCAACATCATACGAAATTCATACGGCGGACTAAACTGCAAAGTCGTGAATGGAGGACAACTGACAGACGCATTACAAGTAAGAACTGGAGTCAGACAAGGTTGCTTACTCTCTTCCTTTCTATTTCTTCTGATGGTTGATTGCATTATGAAGTCCTCCACATCTAACGAGAAGCACCGAATACAACGGACAGCTTAGATGCAACTGGGTGACTTGCAGTTCGCAGATGGCCTGGCCCTTCTATACCATACACCAACAAGTGAGGGTGAAGACAACCAGTGTAGAAAGAGCCTCAACATACACAACGGAAAAAGCAAGATCTTCAAATACAACACGGAGAGCACCAACCCAATCACACTTGATGGAGAAGCTCTGGAAGAGGTGGAAACTTCCACGCATCTGGGTAGCTTCATTGATAAACAAGGATGATCTGATGCAAACGTAAAGAAAGGATTGATAGAACAAAGGCCACATTCCTACAACTGAAGAACATATGGAACTCAAAACAACTGTTGACCAACATCAAAATCAGAATCTTCAGTGCGAACATCTAGACAGTTCTATTGTACGGAGCTAAAACTTGGAGAAATACCACAACTATCATCTAAAAAGTACACTTATTTACAAACAATTTCCTACGCAAGATACTCAGTCTCCGTTGGTCGGATACCATCTGCAATAACCTACTGTAGGAGAGGAAAAACCAGCTTCCAGCTGAGGAAATAAGGAAGGGACGCAGGGAATGAGTAGGATATACATTGAGGAAATCATCAGACTGCATTACGAGGTAAGCCCTAACTTGAAATCCTGAATGGAAACAAAAATGAGAAAGACCAAGAAACACCGAGTCGGGAATTGGAAGTAGATATCAAAAGAATGAATAGCAACTGGAAAGGATTGCCCACAACAAAGTTCGATTGAAAATGCAAGTAGGCGACCTATTCTCCTCCATTAGCGGTAAGGACGTAGTATACGATCCAGAAATTAAGTCAAGCTACACACAAAACGTCAACATATAAAACATCAAGAATATTTTACAAACATAATCTTTATCAACAGCTACGCATTTCAACAATCATAAACCTACAAGAAGATCCAAAAACTCACACAAATCAATATCAGTTGTATATTTTCTTCCAAATATATAAAAAAAAATTCCATTAGTAAATCAAGCATTATGGATCCACTCACAAAATGTGTGCATTTATAATAAAGAGAAAAATATTTAGGAAAATATAAATCCAAATAGAAAAACAAAAGCCATGAAATTTGAATACAAAGACAAAAGTTTGTTTTCTTTGTTTGTTTACTTGTTTGTTTTTGATTACACGATGGAAAAATATGGGAAACAATACAATTCTCAATAGTCTTTTATTCAACTAAAAAATACTTTACATGATTTACATGGTTTGATAAGTTTACAAGAACCCAAATGATTCGTTTTGATAAGAAGTATAGAAAGTGGAAATATTATCCAAAAGAAGTTTCATCACTCTAAGGTAAGTATATAGTTATGAAACACTCATTAATTCATATAAATACCTATGTGGCTATGATTACCAATCATTCATTATTATAATATTGAAGTATTTAGTGATAAACCGTAAACATTAAATTAGAATATGTAGGTTTGTTTTTGTCTGTTTTTCTTTCAGTAACCATGTAATAGGTGAACATAACAACATAAATATCAGGTGAATTATGTAAATAAACATATTTAATTTGTATATCATATCTTTTTGTATAAATATACACATACACAGCAAAACAAGATCATCATTTGATTATTATTATGATTGTTACTTATAACAGTTAATCAGTAGTATACAACATATGAGAAAATGTAAACACGTAAATGAAACAAAAAGGAGAAATCTCATTCTATAATTCTTTGGGAATTATAGAGGAAAATATTAGGAAAAGATACGAAGCTGCAGGAGAAAATATTAGAATAAGCAACGAATGAAGAAATAAATATCATGAATAAAATGAAGACATCCAATTAAGAAAAGGAAACGTTCAGTCGAGGGAGGGTTTTAAAAAAGTTCCAATAAAGATCACAGAAATAAATTAAAAGATTTCACTTTAATACCTATTACATTTTGGTACACTAATTTAGCTTTTCTCTGTATTACTCAAGTTTTCTCTGTGTGTGTGTGTGTCTCAGTTACTTTCACTAGAATATATATATACACATATAGGACAAAGTGAACCATTACAATAGATCTATACTGAATCCAACATAGTGGTAACTTCAAAATCAGTATCAATAGAATCAAAATCTTCACCAACAGCTAATGCAACAGCATCAATTGCTTCAGCTTGTTGACGAGCGAATACACCACGTAAATAATTAATTAAACAACTATCAATAAAAATTGGTCGAAGTGTATTATGATTTGAATGAGGACAAGTAAGTTTAATTAATTCTGGAATAAAATGTCTATGAATAATTTCAATAGATAAACGATCATTAGCATCTTTTTGTAAACATGAATGAATAAAATATATAAATTCAGATGAGAAACAATATACTGGTAAACGTGGAGCTGGTTGTTCTACAATATAGGTAAATAAATTGTACATACCAATAGTTGATCGACTTTTTGGATCTGTAAGGGCTGAAATGTAATGTAAGACAGAAGCTGATAAAAAGTTCAAATATATATTAAGAGTAGGTTATTTCTACAGTGAATCAACAAACCAGTATACTTGAGAATACAGAATAACAATTATTTTTAGGGAAAAAAAACTGTTAGACTTGTTTATTTTAACATCAATTATACCATGAATTGATATTCACTAAAGAACCACTGAAAACTACGGAGCACAGTAGAATATTTGAGAGGTTTTTAAGTAAGTAACAATTAATTTGAAACACATCAAGATAATCTAAACAGTTGAGATCATGAGTCAATTGAAGCTAGACCACTATGGAAAACATGAAAGCACTGGACGGCCGTTTCGTCCTAGTATGGGACTCCTCAGCAGTTGTGAGGTAGTAACTCACTGATGACAATGGTGGATGTGTCGCTCAATTTCGTGGATTAGTTGAAGTTAAACATTAACACCGTTGGACGCCGACTCAGTGGTCTAGTTGGTTGGGCGCCTGGCGCGAGATTGGCAGGTCCTAGGTTCGAATCTAGCGAGGCGGGGTCGTAAATGCCCACTGCTGAGGAGTCCCACAATAGGACGAAACGGCCATCCAGTGCTTCCAGGTTTTCCATGGTGGTCTAGCTTCAGTCGACTCATGATCTCAACTGTTTAGATTACTACAATCTCCACAAAACCCCTTCTGATATCAAGATAAATTTAACATTTCAATGAATAATACCTCAGAAGAGATATTATTAAGACTTGCTCCTTCGGTGAAACTAATAAAATATCTATACACACATAGTACTAACACACTTTATCCAACGACACTGTATGACTGTTAAGTCATAATTTGTGCTAATGTTATCAATGTACATAGGTCTACTAATTCAGACAGTTAACTTTCATGAGATATGTAGTTATTACTACTATTACTGTTCCTGCTAAAGAGACCTCAGATCATCTACCATTTTTGTTGTTAAATATTAATTATTTTCTAGAATGATAACCGTGACAACTTTATTGATTTATACCTCAGAGCTGACATTTCCAGATATTTGATTGGTTGTTATAACTTTTAGTCTGCTAATTTTACCATGTGTCCCAAAGTTATGTTTTGTTTTTATATACAGAGAATTATTTAGCTTCAAATTTAGCCTCTTGAATATCAAACTTTTTTGAGCACCCGTCTTCTTCCTATATTCCTTATCAAATTCGAATTAATTGTTACAGTTGTATGTGTGTTAGGTATCCAGACTATCGAGTTCTCATTAAATCCAGTTCATATTAAAAAAACAATTCAATCGATCGTAATCAGTTCATCACTGATGTTTACTCTCTCAACTTTGTCGTCGACGTACTTTTAAAGATAACACTTTCCTCATCTAAATTTCCAGGGGTTGAACTTTTACTGGGAGATTCACTTGTTGATTAGAACATGTCGATGACTAACTCTATTTGGTGAAGATACTGACAAAATGCAGAGTCTTATGACCACGGTGAGCAACAATGCAAGCATGTTCGGGATGCGACTCTCACCCTCGAAATGCCAGATGCTGATTCAGGATTGGATGGCATCAACACCTGAACTAATTATAGGGAGTGAAGTAGTTGAACGTGTCGACCGCTCCACTTATCTTGGAAGTCTCATAAGCTCTTGTGGTCTGGTGTGTGACGAAATCTCAGCACGGATACAGAAGGCTCAACTAGCTTTTGCCAACTTGCATAATTTATGTAGTAGGCGAGATACCCGTCTATCAACCAAAGGACGGGTTTACTGTTCAGCAGTTTGCTCTGTCCTACTTTATGGCAGTGAAACATGGCCGGTAAGAGTAGCGGATATTCGTAGGTTACTAGTATTCGATCATAGGTGTCTTCGAAGTATTGCCCGTATATCCTGGGACCACCGAGTAAATAACGCAGTTGTTAGGAAACAGGTATTAGGTAAGGATGACAAATCGATTAATGAAGTAGTGAGAATTCATTAGTTGAGATGGCTAAAACGTGTTACGTATTCCCAACCACCGAATGCCTCGACGTGCAATGTTATATGGTTTAGAAGTAGGTTAGAAGAAAGCTAGGGGCGGCCAGAACAAAACATGACACAAGTCCATGAAGTCACTGACAAATGGTCTGAGTCATGTTGGTAAGTGTAGACTACCCGGTTGGAATCCATGGAACGATAGCAACCGATGATTAGAGACCTTGAATGACATGGCTCAAAATCGTTTGCAATGGCAAAGGTGCATCCACTCTTTATGTTCTCCCAAACCTAAACTTCCGGATTCTTCATGTTCCTCTTTTTCTCCTTCCAAATATATTTCACTGGATTATACTCCTTGAATAACATCTTCAAACCCTAATCGTTCCGATTACTCCCTATACTTTTACTACCTCTACGACTATGGGATTTGAATCAACAATTGTATCTGTGTGCTAATGTGATATGGCAACTTGAACTGATGTACGTACGTACGAAGTTCTACGCTGTTGCTGACTGATTGACTGAATCAGGAGTTAATTTAGCCTAATCCTTAGAAACTTAACAATTTCATAAATGTGAACTACATTTCCCTGTATCCAGCATTAACAAATTGTTTATAGAGTAATGAATACTTTATTTGATTTTCTTTTACTTTTTTAGTGTTATTTTCAATATTCGTTTTTATCAAATTAAGATAGATCCTAACCAGATATATATTTTTACAATAGATGTATATGCAAACTGGATAATGTTTTAACCGTCATGTTTTACACTTGTCAACAACTATATATAACTGTTTTGATATCAATATTTATTTTGGAAATATATTATATTTGTGAAAATATGTAACATTTCTAAACTAGTAAACAAGTAATATAAACTTTATGCTATGTTCAATATGTAAATAGACAAGTAAACTTTTTGTGTATCAACCTAATAAACACAGAAACACACACACGCGCGCGCGAGAGTAAACAAACCAAAAGAATAAATGAACAAGATTATATTTATCAGACGTTCAGAATACAAACATTAGCGTTACGATTTGATCTGATCTGATAGTGAAAAAAAAATTGCATTGTCTAATCATCATGTTATTATTCAGAAACATTAAAACTAAGCAACAAATGTAATATGATTAGTCTTATTAGTAATCTATGCAAATTCTTCTCAGAGCTGAGAGTGACAGATACTTTGTATCTTACCAAAATAACTAAGACAATTGCACATGTTTACAGACCTTTTAATATCAGTGTTATACTAAATATCATAACTGTTTTAGGAATCAATCAACTGAATCCTGTTTTTTTTAGATTCAACGATTTAATCAAGGTTTAAGAACTGATAAATTTTCACTATCTTTGTATACACTCCAACAAAATGTAGTCCAGATGAGCATCTTTATAAACTAAACGCGTGTTTGATAGATACTGTGGTGCTAACTGTAAACGTGAATGTACAGATCGGGAGTCTAGAAACAGGAGTAAATTGTCTGTATGGTTAGTGAATACTTACATCTACACATAACACATCTAATGGGTACAAAAATATACCAGGGTTATGAATGATGTACTACCTAATGTTATCTCTTTGAAACTCAACCTTGGTAAGGATGTGCACAACACTCTTGCTAATTTTACGATATCCACCTAAATTTTGATGATGTTATAGTATAAGTCAAGCTCACCGTACTAAACTGATTAACAATAATGAAAAAGACTACATCTATTATTAATAAGAGATTAGGAAAAAATATCTCGTACAATGATTTATAAATAACTAGATGAAAACAGATGAATAGTACAAAGTAGAATTTGTTTCACCTACCAGGTAATAATTCACCAGTTTTTGCAGCTCTAAAATGTTCAAGCATGTTTGTTTCTTGATCTGGCGCAAATGCACGTACAAAATCAACTGGATCAATAGATGGGATTGGATATTGTCCAATAGCTAATTCCATTAATGTCAATCCAAGACTCCATATATCACTAGCTGCACTGAATAGTTCACCTGGAAACAATAGTAAATAAACATTTAACAAATAGAAAAAGACAATTTAGTAAAAGTAGTTAATAGAATATTACATTGAGTCAACGATAAAAAAACTGAAATATTATCAATACATACATACTATATATTAAAATATTTTGTAGCAAAACATTGAGATAAGAAATTGACAAGGCGAAAGTCAACCAGTCATACGAAACATGGAATCTAACATACATGTGAATCGGTTCACGTCGCCGTACCCATAAGCACAGTGAGACAGGACTATTTCAAGACAAATTCTAGTGTTAAGAGGAGCAGTAGAAAAGACTAGATTCCGAAAGCAGAAACAAGGTATTTGGGGACTTAGGGAAGACAAGGAGTGAACATACCAACACCATGGCAAACGAATTTGAGCCATCTGATGCAAAGTCTTTTAACATTGGTTACGGTAATCACGCGGGTACAACATAGATAGTATACACTGAGCCACCTATTAAAATGGCTCAGGACAAGTGTCAATGACTTCGTGAATTAGTGCCACATCTTAGTTTCGACGTTTTTAGCTTTCTTCCAACATACCCTTACGCCACACAACACCACCCATCTAAGGTTGACAGTGTTTGTGCATACGTAACACACGTCCCAACTACCACAGTTGATGAAGATTTACTACCTCATCAGCCGATTTCCCATCTTTACACAATACAATTTCTTTAGCCCAGGCATTACTTACTTGGCGGTCTCAAAATACACGAGAAATACTTCGAAGAGACCTATGACCGAATACTAGTAACCTACGAATATCCTTTATCCTTGATGACTGTGTTTGCCACTCATGAAGTACAACGGAGCGAAATACTGGGCAGTGAACTCGTCTTTCGGTTAGCAGACGGATGCCTCGCCTATGCCACAAGTGACGTAAGTTGGTAAAAGCCATTCGGGGTTTTTGAGTCCATCCCCAGATTTTGTCAGACACTGAAAACAGCCCAGGGACTGATGAGACCCCCAAAAAAGTAAAGCGGTCGGTACCCAGGAACCTCACTTCTTATCATTGATTCAGCTGCTGACGCAGGCCAATAGAAAAAAACAGTGTAAATTAGCTCATTTCACAGGTTGAAATCATGAGTCAATTGAAGCTAGAACACCATGGAAAACCTGGAAGCACTGGACGGCTGTTTCGTCCTAGTACGGGACTCCTCAGCAGTGCGCATCCACGATTCCGCACCCTGTGGGGTTCGAGCCCAGGATCTGTTGGTTTCGCGCGCGAGCTGCTGAGGAGTCCCGTACTAGGACGAAACGGCCGTCCAGTGCTTCCAGGTTTTCCATGGTGGTCTAGCTTCAATTAACTCATGATTTCAACCTGTGAAATTTCTGAAAATCTCCACAATACCCATTCTGATAGTTAGCACATTGACCAAGAACTTGGGTATGAGCCACATTCTAATTGTACGAACTAATGATACTATCTGGGTAGAGAGAGGTCCGGATCTAGAACTTAATAGCTGAAAATAAAGTGTTTTGGCCTATAAGTCACCTTTCCACAATATAGAGAATCAGCAATTGATCAATCATAAATAACTCAATAATACCAAGTGGTATACACATCTGTTGATGAAGTAGGATCCAAGAAATGTTCTTAATTTATGGACAATGACATTGAGCTACATAGCTTAGAATCAATTATAATAGTGCGGTAACATACATAGTTAACATTTTTTTCTTGAGCTTAGCATTATTCCACACATTATGATTATCTTTTGATCTTGAAAATAACGAGATTTGCACATAACAGAAATTTACTTTAACTATTTTTTTCTTATTATTGAATACATAATGCCAAAAAATATGCAATGAGTTAAAAAGTAAATGAATGTAATGACGAAATCAACAATTTCAAAGAAAATAAGACAAACAGTAGAAATTGTTTACATAACATAATGTCAATTCATATGAGATAAATAAATTGAACTTATTAATTATTATTATTATATATTTATTTTATTTGAACACATAAACATTGGTACAAGGAGGCACGAAATAAATATGCGCCACATAAATCATTCATTTATATGAGGGTTGGGATAATGCCCAGATGCCTAAACCGAAACGGGTGGTTTTCTTAGGGGGTCACACCACGAGCCATCGATCTAAAGGTCTGATCCACAATGCAGTGGAGCAACGTATGCAGATGTAGTCCCATGGTAGCCGGTGACTAATAATTTATTTATACAGTCAGTCAGTCACCATTTGTACCCTCAGGATCTGGGAGCCGATACGCACCATTAGTTTGGAAGCAAGGTTTTCCAACTCCCCTACGTGGATCACCCATATCCACCAACTCGATTAATAATAATAATAATCAGTATTGTTAGTAAACGTATTTTTATCAAATCAAATCATAAACACAATGTACACATAAGTAATAAATAAAATCAACAACAGAAAAAGGAACTAATTATATTTTGATCTTCTGACAAAAGTAAACAGGTTAAAAAAAGAGAAAAAACAAAGAAAGAAAAGAGAAGTGTTTACAATATTCCTCAATAGTTTATTAACTTTATAATGGACACAATTAACTGTATGGTAAATTAAGAAGAAAGAAATGAAATTTTATTACAATGAAATGATGATCTTTTTTTAAGAATAAACATTAGAAAGTTCATATATACAAGAGATATTCTATGATGTTCTTACAAATGATAATATGTAGTGAATGTAATGAACAACAATCTACATAGGATAAACTAATACAAACCTATAAAAAATTTCTTAACAAAATATGAAAATTATACACATTATAAATACATTTTTGTTTCTTGCATATCTTCTTTCTATTACCCTTTACATACTCTATGATTCTTCTAATTCTGTTGTTTGGCCTTCACCAACTTACGTCACTTATCGTGAAGGTGAGATATCCGCCTATTAAAAAAGCACGAATATACTGCGCAGCAGTTCGTTCTGTTCTACTTTATGGCTAAGAAATGTGGTCACTAAGAGTAAAAGATACCCGTAAGTTACTAGTATTTGACCAAAGATGCCTTAGAAATATTGTTCGCATCTGCTGGGATCACCGGGTAAGTAATAGTGATGCTAGACGTAGAGAATTAGGGAATGATGGTAAACCAGTTGATGGGGTTGTGAATCCTCATCGACTGAGATGGTTGGGCTACATGTTGCGCATGCCTGAACACCGATTACCACGACGCGCAAAACTAACCAGTGTTCGGGATGGTTGGAAGAAAGTTAGGGGCGGCCAAACTAAAATGTGGCATTATTCCTTGAAGTCACTAACTTCTGGTCTGAGCCATGTTGGTAGATGCAGAATACTTGGTTGGGGTCCGCGTGATAATCGTAACCAATGGTTGGAGACTGTGTGACATGTCTCAGAATCGATCACAATCGTGTAGGTGTATACACACTCTATCTTCCCTTAAACTATAAGATTAAAATCTCTTCATATCTTTCTACCAAATAACTCTTGGTGACATGGCTCAGAATCGACCACAATGGTGTAGGTGTATACACTCTCTGTTTTCCCTTAAACCATGAGATTAAAATCGCTTCATATCTTTCTTTCTACGAACTGACTCCTTCTTCCCGTACTATATCCTTATATGCAATCTTTCTTTTATATATTACCACCATTAACTTGACTACTTCTATGAATCCAGTTTTCATCTTGTTGTGCTAATGAGGTGTGACAACTTGGACCGATGCACATATGTGCCTGATCCTACGTTGTAGCTGACTGACTAATTATGTTGTTATTATAATTATTAAACGGAATACACTCATTAAGACATTAAATAAGAAAGATTAGTTCAGCGAAGAGTTCTCTTTTCGGCGAATTCATTTTCAAAGCTGTACAATCGCAAATATATATACTCATTTACCTGCTCATGTGGAGCTGAGTATATAGGTCGTTCGATGTGTACTTTATCAAAAACAAATCAAGAACATTGTCCGGAGTGGCTAAAAAAGGAGGCAACGGCTCAATAAGAAGTTCAGTAATCGAACACCATGTGAACACAGACTCTGTATTCAAAGTCATCTACAAGGTAAGTAGAAGTCTTCCAAAGATAATCAGACTGCATCTTCTTTGCACTGCCGAAACATTAGCCATACATCTGGAAAAACCAGAATTGTATGTGCTAAAGAGACTGGTACAACTCCTTCTTCTACCATGGTCTTACTGTCATATAACTTTTTCTTTTCTTTTTTTCTCTTCCTTGATACTCTTCTTCCTTTACAGCCATTTGCTTCCCCTTAAATCTCCTACCCCCAACCATTTTATTTCTGTTTCTATGATCTTCTTTATCACATTCAATTTCAATTTCAACATTTTATCTTCCCATGCTGAGCCATCCTTTTCCAATGATAATTTCCCTATCTATCCTTTGATGAATACTTAAGCCAATCACAATCAAACGATTATTAAACATTCCTTGTTTTAAAAAAACATTTTTAATACCTTTGTTTATTTAATCTCACTGTCACCATGTCTAACAGAAGTTTATTATCAGTATTATTATCATCTTGAAAAAAGTAAGTATATATACTTGCAATTGTAAAGCTTTGAAAATGAATTCGCCGAAAAGAGAACTCTTCGCTGAACTAATCTTTCTTATTTAAATTCTGGTTATTCTCTATTTCCTTATCTGTTCTTCATAATTTGAACTTCTGTTTGCAGGTATTTGACTTATGATTCTCACTACATACTACTATTATCTGCCAGTATAAGTAGCATTCGCCATAAAAATTAAATTAACTATCCAATATAATCAGAAGGGGTCTTGTGGAGATCATAGTAATTTCAATAGTTGAAATCATGAGTCAATTGAAGCTAGACCACCATGGAAAACCTGGAAGCACTGGACGTCCATTTCGTCCTAGCATAGTATGGGTTGAAGCTAGACATTAACACTTGGATTCCGGCTCAGTGGTCTAGTGGTCAGGATCTCGTGCGCAAGACTGACAGGTCCTGGGTTCAAATCCCGGGAGGCGGGGTCATGGATGCGCAATGCTGAGGAGGAATGGGCTGAAAGAAAATAAACAGGGTTGTAATGTTGTAATAGACGGTATCGAAGTTGTTCTTAAAGTTATCACTGTCATCTCACTCCTTAACAGAGTTGAATTATATTCCTGAGTTTATAATGTTGATTGTGAGTTTTAACCTAAATAGATTACCACTTATTACAGAACCATTTATTACTTACGAATATTTCCATACAAAAATTCTAAGAAATCAAAATAGTTTTCTGATTTGATTAACGTCAAATGAGTTATTTGAATGAATTTAACACACACCCGATAGTAAAATGGTTCCTAATTATTAACTGAAAAATATCACAAAAAAACTGAAGTCATTCAAATCAGATCAAAAATATCGTACACATCGAGGTTTTACCTACCTGCCAGACGTTCAGGTGCTATGTAAGTGGAGAATCCTAAAAATCCAGAAGCTACATATTCACTCAGCTGCAAACTGACGACAAAATCACATAATTTAATAGTACCAGCACGATTAATGAGTATATTGGATGGTTTCAAATTACTAAAAACAATAAATTTTAAAAACAATTTAAACAATAAGCAAATTAGTGTAAGATGTTTGTGGAGTTTGTAGTTTACTATACAAACTGACGTTCTTTAGATAACCAATGAAAACCATAAAGCACGGGACAGATGCTTCACCTTAGTATGAGACTCCCCAAGAGTATGCATTCAGGACACATCCGGGGATTGAACCCAGGACATAAGGGTCTCATGGAGTGAGTCTGACGTTTATACCACGGAATCGGTGTATCCAGTGGATTCGCACCAATATCATTTATAGATGGTCGTTAGATAAAGAACTGACCGGAGTTAGTAACGTAAGTCACTGTGATTCCGACTCTCATTGATCTAGAGATTAAACACTTCCTCAAAGATTGGAAAATCCTACGTTCGATGCCTGATAGGAATGCGGATTCGAATTCTAGGACGAAGCCGCAATCTATCCAATGCTATCTGATTTTCGTTGGTAGTCTAACTAAGGTTAGTTTGTGATGTGAAATAACCGATTCATAACAGATTTTCACTGAAACTGAAAGAAAATTCTCTCAATGTATGAAATTATTATTATTACTATCATTATTTAAACATAAAAATTGGTACAAGGAGGCACCAAATACATATGTGCCACACAAATCTCAGTCGATGTGTGTGAGGGCTGTGATACTGCTCGGGTGCCCAAACCGGAGCAGCTGGTTTTCTCAGGGGGTCACATCCCGAGCCTTCAACCTAAAGGTCTAATACACAAGAGTACATTGTTCAGTCATTTTATAATTAATTGAAATACTTTTCTCTATTCATAAATCGAAGAATGACAGTGCGATTAACTGTCAAGTATAACTAAACCGATGAATATGGACAGGTAGTTGAAAAAGTTATTCTTAATTATTAACAACATTCATCGAATGAATATGAACAGTTCGAAGATCACAGAAATAATTCAAATTTGTGTGGTTAATTTTGATCTTCTCAAAATGATTATCTCTTCGGTATTCAGATGAAATAAATAGATCAGCTTTTCTGAAACTATATCATTTTAATTTTCGTTTTCAAATAACAGTCAGTCAGTCAGCCAGCTACAACGTAGGACCAGGCACATATATGCATCGGTCCAAGTTGCCATACTTGAAGTTGCAAAAGCAGATGACAGTTCGCCATAAGCTCTGACTCGACTAGTAGTGTTTGAGTAAAGAGCTGTAAAGAGATGTTATTTGAGATAGATGTTATGTTATTTCAAATAACATCTATTTAGCCATTATGAATCTTCATAAAAAGTCATAAATTACTGGGGGGGAAAACAAAGTAATCACCACACTTTCAGGTAGCTTTTTGTTATTTAAATATGTCTGTAACAGCGAGACGTCTTGATGCGATAGTGGGAACATTTTAGTTAGAAATGTAATGGTCTTTCTTCAACTAATAAATTAAACATACGACACAAAATACGACAATACCATTAAGGGCATACTTCGAGTGGTAATATTAAAAATAACATCAAATAACTTATAATAACCCGAATATTTCTGAATCTCTTGAAAAATGGAAATACAAACTAAGAGATGAAAATCCACTGAGTAAGAAAAGAGTAACATATGTATGTGGATGTCATTGTGATACACACCGTGTTTAGTTCTGCAAGAATAACTAAATACCAGTCACTTACCTGAAATTTTTTAATTCATACAGCTCATAAGACAAATCTTATTTAACCTGTTCCTATCCTAACTAATTTGCATAGAAACAATACAAGAATACTCACTTTACAACGAAAACCAACAGTACATGGCTTGAGTGAATAATTTTACGGATTTCCGTGAGCTACTGATTAAGTAGCATAAGTAGCATATAGAGCTAACCAACATTTTAGTTAACGATGGAAGCATATAGACAAGAAACGAGTTAAACTCTGAAAATAGTAGTTCAAAAAGATAAACATTTAATGGCTATCGATGATTGGAATTCCTAAAATCAACGTATAATATCCTTTCCTTATCTCGAGAAATACATTATGATAAATAGTAAGGCATGTTGCTCAAGTTCTCCAAGTAGTCATTTCTTACATGGTGCGTATTCCTTGCAAATATCCAAATGAAAACCAATACTATACTTGGCAACCTTAAATAGGCAGTTTTCTAGAATGACTCGGCTTCAGCTCTCAGTACTGTCAAACGTCACCGTGACCTAAGCTTAAAAAGCTAGAAATCTACTTTCAAAAGTAGCTGACCAACGAGTATCAGACTGACATGCTATGTTTAAATATGTTTAATTCATTTAGCCCTTACAAATGACTACTGAGAACTGTTTATCTGACTCTTCCAAAACAAGTTAAGCCAAACTGTTTTCCCCTTAGAAGAAAAATATTACATTGACCATTACTCACCGATGAAACATATGCAACTCTTGCCAGAGGTAAAGTAGACCTGATACAACTGAATCAGCGATATGAATTATAATTGGTTCAGGGAAACGTCCTACCATTTTCAATAGTAAATCCATTCCACCAACATCCATATACTCCATATATATACTTATTAAACATTCAGAATGTATCGCTCCATGAAATTCAATTATATGTGGTGATATACACTCCCAAAGGACCTAATTTAAATTAAAACGGAGATAATTACATATTTATATGAAATAAAGAAAACACGATTTACCCTAAATATAATCATCATTATGACAAAGTAATTTATCCGTATACTTTGGTTCTTGGATTTGATCAAAAAATAAAATTGTTGAGTCGGCTTTCCGAGAACTGCAACGGAGCCTCCAGAGGCCCTAAAGCAGCCGAAGAGTCCTAGCCAATCAGGGCATGATGAAGCTTTCTAGAATGTCAACGTGGCGTGCTACTATTGGTCAGTAGCATAATATGTCCTCTAGCGGATTGGCCAAAATATGATGCTGATTTAACAAATGTTAACATTTATAAATACCCGTGTTTTTCTGTACAAAAATGAACCTTTGGAGTAAAGTGTTTTTCGCTTATTTTGCGACTTTTCTCTCGAGTTCAAGTCGCTGCGTAGTTCAATCTTGAGGGTTACCAGAATAGCTTAGGAACCGAATAAAACGTTCAAATTAACAAGACTTATCAAAAATCCAATAGTTAAATAAACCAATAAAATATTACAGGTTGTATATATGAAGCAGGTTATTATAATAAACTAAATCTAGGTATCGCACTTGACAAAGGTTTCTAAGTACCAACAAAATTCTAGGAAATTTGTGTAATTTTAATTTAAACTGTCCTAGTTCCATAAATTCATAAAGATGTAAAGAATCTCTTAAATCTCAAAATAAACATGTATCGTCCCGAGATTTTCAATATGATCCAAGTAATATTATCAGTCAATAACTTTATAAACTGATATCATTTATCTGACTGATCATTCTCTGATTTGGTTCGATCATCCGGATAATACTAGCCACCACATATAAATTGTATGGCTCAAAGCAGAGTGCATAACTGTGTGCCTGTTGAGTAAATCCTTCTCTCTTCAGAGTTCATATACCTCCCCCAACCTATCATCAGTATTTGGTACAAAATACATTGATGAGAAAAAGATAGGTGAGGTTAGATAACAATACTATTTAACATGAATACATGTAATATCATAAAATAAATAAAAATGAAAAAGAAAAACTTGAACTACTTGTAAATCTCTAACAATCTGTGCTCTTGTAGTAGTTTTTACATCTAATTCAAATGTTTTTCTAATTAAAAATGTACCAGATGATTTATGTTGTAATTTTGTTACAATGCCACCATTACCACGACCTAATTCAGATATTAATAATAAATCATCTATATTGAAATCTGGTACTAAACGTCGACGACCAGAATCACCTGGACTTGATGTTTGTGAATATTCAAGAGATGTTGCATTAGATGAACTACTTAATGAATTGTTATTATTAGTTGGACTTTTACAACGTGTAAATGTTTGAAGTGTTTCTGATTTATTCTCATGATTGGTTGATTGTGAATTTATAGTTGTAGAGCTGTAGAAAATAAATAGAGAAATATAAGTGATAGTAGAATTATATAATCAATGAAAGCATGAGTGCTATATAACATTTTAAAACTTAGGAAATGAAGTAAGCACTGGAATCAGAGTTATTCTTTCTAAATCTAGCTATGAAACCTCTAGGTTTAAAGTTAAGTCACAAAATAAGTTGATAAGTTACAAGCTCATTAACTTTGGATTTCAATACGCTAGTAAATTAACTTAAATTATATTCTTTAACAAGTTAAACAGTATTTATCAACAGGTTAGTTGATTCAGCAAAGTAGGTGAAGACTGAACAGATAAATGAACTTACATGTTCCCCGTCGAATGATTTACAAGATTTCATAATTGATATATCTGATAATGAATTTACGATCATTATAGTCTCTTGAGGACTCACTATTCCTAAATTTACAGAATATCAGTTTATAAAGAAGGGACGCTACGCCCTTAACCAAATCGATTCTCTAAACTCATAAATTGCCAAGATGGTAAAAAATATCAACGAGAGAATTTACGTGGTAGGAGATCTCCCTGATAAATTAAGAGAACAATATCTGGACTATATGGAGATTATTGTTAACTCAAGAAAAGAAAAGAATGAAACTTAAGAAAAATCTAGACAAACAGATTCCAGAAATGAAATTTCCATCTAATCCAAGTCAGTACGTACACAATTTCTCTAATGTTATGCTGGATAAAACTGCGTTAGAAGCGTTATCATTAGGCCCTAAGTTTTGTGACTTCAAGAAAACAGTAAATAAAATGGACGTTGAAATTCAATTCGAAAATCTTTATGCTCAAACGGCTGTGTGATTTCTATTCGATATTACTTCCACTTTTAATTTAATGTGACAAGTCAGTATTATATTTGTTTTATTTTCAGCATAGTATTTTGTTCGGGATACTATGAATTTTATTTCAATGAGATGCTTATTTAGAATAATATTCCTCGTATTAATTTAGCGTGAACTTCGTCCATTATGATATGCACAATAAGCTTTATATAAATTCTGTGTATCTACCCTATATGTGAGATTTGTTAACTAATCATCACATGTGAGTAAAATCGATATATTAATGAGTCTATTTATCAAAGAGATAGATGTGTTTTGAAAGGTAAAACAAATTTTCATCAATGCCAACTTTGTTTTCTAATTCGCACTATGCGAATTGGAGTATTCTCTTTATCCAAGTATTGTTAGTCTCGTGGTTACAACGATTTAGAAAATATTACTGTAAAAATAGCTAAAGATCTAGATTACAAAAAACTTCCAACATATATTTCTGATCTTACAATTTTGTATGTAATTTATTAATTGTGGAAAGAGAATAAATAAATTGTGATGAAATGTTCACTAATCATACCAACTGAACAGTCAGGCTATGTGAAATGAAGTTAGCGATTAACAAACATTTGTTATGTTAAACTAAACAAGCAGAAAGTCTACATCTACCACCACACATGACTCAGATCTATAGCCAGTGATTTTCACAGACTAGTACCATGTTTTGGTTTAGCTGTCCATAGCTTACAATTGATCTGTTCCTATAATAACCGAAAAATTGCACTGAATTAATAGGATTAGATCTAAGATCTAGAACTAAGCACAATGGTTATGACGGCGAAGTCTTCACGCAACAAACACTAAAGAGTTTAAATCTATATAAAGCGTGCTATGGCGATATCAACACGTTTCAAGAAGAAAAAACACCCAAAAGATAGTGAGGTTGCAGCTCATTAGTTTATATAAACAGCTTTCAAATATCGAGTCACAAGTAAGAAAATTGAGAGATTTCAGTGTAGTAGTCCGTTAATCTGACTCCGATTTGATTGTATGAAGTTAACGAAATAAGCACTCCGCCTACTGTTGTATACAATTATCGACTTAATTCGCGTTACAGAATGACAAAATAAAACAAGCCAAACACGAGAATGAATTTTGAACACGCATATTTGATACACTCGTTACTCCAGACCGATAATAAGAATGAGGAACAGAGAAGGCAAGTTTGTCAACTCAGTTTGATAAAACGTGACTCAATATTTATAACCAGACAAAAGTAAGCTAAAGACACGTGACGAATGAGGTAAGCAATACACATACATATGTTTATGTAAAAACAGTCAAGGTTAATAAGCGAATAACTGAAAAGGTCAAACTGTGACTCAAGAAGAGTAAATAAATTAGTCCGTCCGGAAGCTAGAATAACCCTTGTGGGCTTGACATAGTACTAACCACCACACACGATAAATGAGGCTAGGATACTAATACAGTTGTATATGTACTACATAATCATGACTTTCTGGAACGATTAAAATAATATGAACGAAATCTGTCAGAGGTGTACTGAGAAAATTAAAACTGCTAAGATCAAGCAAGAATATAGGATGGAGTAAAACGGGGAAAAACAGAGCATAATAAGAGAGACGGGAAATAGTTTATCCTTTGAATTGGGGAAACTTACGCATCTGTCCCATCTGTGAGTGATTCTGAGATAGTGATAGACACTGTTTCTTGTGAAAAATCTTCAACAAGAACCTGAAAAACACACAAAATAGAAGATAAAATATACCTCTATCTTTATAAGCCATGTGAGTAAGTAATCTAAACATCACTGTGTATCAATACAAATTTAAGTTATTAGAGTTTGTGAGCTATCGTTTTATACACATGAAAACAACTATAAAAGAATTATAGATGAGATCTACACTTGGGACTCTCTAGCCATAAAACAAGACTTTACATATAGTTGTGCTCAAATTACATTCAGTGGCATTCAGATACATTAAAAGTTAGACAAGTAAGAAGCCCATATTCTCTCTTTCGAAGCACTTTTGTGTGACTAAACACAGCGCTAACACAAAAGTTTTACGTGATTTCTGTGTGATGGCTATCAAGATGAAAAATGCACGTTGTTCGGACCCCGACCTTGGTTAATAGACATTAAAGACCAGGTAAGAAATTAAATACTTTAGATCATAAATTAATTAACCCAAAAGTGCATTGAAATCCCAACGAAATTCTAATTGGTAATTGGTTGTCCTGAACATGAAACCCATCAAATTCTTCCAAATTATTGGAGTAAAGGGTCAGAATGATACCAATATAAGCAGTTAAAAAAATACTGAAATTTCTATACAGTTGATTAGGAAAACAACGATCGAAAACAACCTAAATAACATCCTAACGTGGAAATTATAATAAAATAGGTTTTGCATTGGACTCTAAGATGTTTTACAACATTCCTACTGCATAAAGCGGTTATTCGTTGATGGAAGTTTTGGGTTTTTCAGTCAGACAAGAGGTACAGAGATACAAAAGCAATATCAAGCAAAAACGTAATGGCAAGAAAGGCAGATAAATAATAAGAAACGAAAAATATCTCTATTCTGCTTTGGTGTGGCAGTTTATATAACTGGTACGAATAGTCACCAAGTGTGAATATTCATATTAGCAAAAGTAACGACCAAGATTGAGAGACAAAATAGTCCCTTCAGATTGACCTCGATCATCAATTATTGCAGTTTTTGGAAAAGACCAGGAATTTTGCAGATAATCACAATATTACCAGTTTAACTTACGAGGTTCATTTGAGTGACTATTAAAGGCATTAATTTAACTTGAAGCAATTAACGGTTAGTCAGTCATACGCAACGTAAAACTCGGCATACATATGCGCAGGTTAGACGTTCCATACCATATTAGCAAAGCGAGACAGAACTATCAAGACAAATCCCAGAGTAGTAAAGTAGTAATTGTACCAGAAGGAGTAGGAAAGATCAGGTATAAACGATACGATCAGAGTATTAGAGAAAAATGTGTGTAATAAAAAAAGGAATAATTTCGTAACTCAAGATTCCAGAGAAGGCAAAGAACCAATACATCCCCACCACTGTGGTCAATTCTGATCAATGCTACCCAGTGTCATTAGCCACTGGTTATAATAACTGTCCCGACGCCAATCAGATAGTCTGGACTAAATAACATGGTTTAGTCTAACTATTAATAACTTCCTTGGAAGCCTGAAAATAGAGGTACAAAACTTGATCAAAACTATCCGGAACACACCTTCAATTCATTAGGTGATGAAACACTAGCAAACTAATCAGAAGCTTCACGAAGCCCACATTCTTTGACCCGATGGTAGTATTCAACTTAGTTACTATGTTTTGTGGAAATTCGTCCAACAAATATATTACCCTACTAAGACCTTTTACTCAGAACGATAATCCCGTATGGGATAATGAAAGCATCCGGTTTGATCTAACGACGAACGGTAATGGATACTGATCTTACCATAAATCGTTCGAATGCCCCTCCCATCGAGGATTGCAGTTACTTGGATTAGTATACTTCTATGTGGGATTTATAAGTGGATACTTACTTAGAAAGCTTACCCCCTCTCCCCAATATTCAAACTAGCCGCCAAAATCCTTATGAACATGACAATTTTTGAGAGGCTTGTTTTGACAGCATGTTTTTGTTTTGTATTTCTTCGTAGTCTGTTGAAAAGTGAACAATAAGCCCTGTGCTTTTCATACTTGACATAAGTGTACAAGCAAATATGAAACCAGGGTTAACGTAATTACAAATTCAATGCTCGAGGATAAATATCTTGGTAAATTAGTCAAATAGACAACGTGTTTAGGCCTTTTTCTAAGTAGCCTAATAAGCCATTTGTACTTGTGGATATTACGAAAGTCAGTTTGTCGGGTGGTGAAAAACTACCTAACTATCCTGCAACAAATGATATTCAGATAATGTGGTTCAGTACAAAAAAAACAGTTGAGGTACCTTCTCAGATTGAGTTTCTAGATCTTCGCCAGCAGATGTTTTATCAAGTCTCGATGTTTGGTCGACAACCATAGGTAATATTGCATACCATACGGTAATCGACTAAAACGAGATGGAAATTATGCAAAGTACGAAGCCCGTTGAAACCTATAGAGATTGTATACAAAACAAAACGTAAAGATTGTGAGGGTAGCTAGAAAACATTTACATGCTATTAAAAGCCGTAGAAATAAGAGAAAAACAAGAAATCAAAACAGTAGTTTTAAATGACAACAATTATCCGTGTGATATGTAAATTTTAACTTGAACTTTCCTATGACATTACTATTACCCTTCAACTAGTACTTGTATGGGAAGTGACTGGTGCATGAATGATCATATATACTGTCTACTGGTTTGTATATTCTGTTGTTTCTACATACGTTTTAATGTGAACACGATTATCTTTTGTTCTTAGCCATTAAGGTCATTAAATGTTGTATAATAAAAGTATAATACACTGACGGCCTTGAGTTAGACAATCAGAATTAAGATAATGCCATGATTAGTTTGGGCAAAGTTCCGAGTGAAGCGGTAGATAACGTGTACGCTGTTATTAACCAAAGGCAAATTATCAGTAGCTACGTGGATAACGAGATGGCGTTTGAAGCAAACAGTGCTGGGTTCGAGTCCCGGAGCGAACAACAACTCCGAGGTGCAGGTACACCCAGATGACGAGTCCCAAATAGGGCGAAATGCGCGTCCTGGATTCCTCTGCTAGACACTATCCATCTTTGCCAATATTTAGTTCTTAAAATTCTTGAACTTGACGAAACCATCTATTCTACGAGATACTGAATTCGAGATCATGTTTAAGCTAAAATACACGACATACCTGCTCCTGAGGCAGATTGTGTCAAGGTACATAATGCCGTTCAGTGAGCAATTAAGGGTGTTTACTAAAGCAATGTAATGTTCTCCCTTTCTCAAAGTCGCTCTAAGTGTTAGCAGGAAGGTGGAAAGACATTGCGTTACGGCTGATGTCAGTTCGTATAGAAAACCCAAACAACAATTTAAAAACCCAACTCAAAACTCTAGCAATTATTACCTAACCCTGACCCTTTTGGATCACAACTGATGTCAGTTTGTGACGAAAACTCTATGGAATGATAAAATCAACTCAACATACCAGCCCGATTCTTAGTATATATATATATATATATACTCGCCCTTTTCCACCTGAAGGAATAATATGAATCGTGAGGGTCAATTACAATCAAGGCTGTTATTACGTTTTATATTGTTGATTGTCGTGTAACTAAGCAGCGTTTCCTGATTGACTGATAAACTACCTAGGTTATTTACTATATTATACTTTTACAAGTTCTATTCAACCCACAAAAATCACAAGCTAGCTATCGAGTGTCATGTGTACAATGGGCATACGCACCTATCGATTACCAGCGGACAAGTGTTTCATGAAGAATGTCAATGATATGACCATAAGTTTTAAAGATTTATATATGCAGACAGTAAAGGAACTAGGTAGTAGATAGCACTGTTAACATAGCTATACTAAGTATTTGTATTCAGTGAATAACCCACCTTGGGAGAGTTTCAGAACTAAGATTAAAAGAGAAACTTACTATTTAATCATATGAAAGCTTATTAAACCAAGTAGCAAAGTCATATGAAGTGACTTCTTAACAAACACTAGGGAAAAAGTGACCCTGAAGTCTCGAATTCCCGCCATATATGTGCAAAAAGTCAAATGGTTCAGAAGTTGTGGACGAAATAGAAGAATCTTTCGCATAACGGACTTACGTGTCTAGTAGCAGGGTATAACCAATATCTCCAGGTATATAAACGGTAAAAGGGGAAAAAGAAATCGGTAACTCATAGTAAGATATCATCCTAAGTACTTAAGAATAGGTCAAGTTGCCTCTTAAAGGACTCCTGGGAAGACGCTTGGACTAACTCGGCCGGCAGCGAATTCCAGTATTTGACAACTCTTAAGGAGTAGAACTTGTGTCTACAGTCCGTTCTGCTATGTTGTGTCTCCAGTTTTTGTGTGTTACCTCTTAGGTTAGTGTTAGAACTAAGCTTAAGTAGGTGTTTGAGAGGATGCCCAGAAGTGTTAAGGATACTGTAAGCCATCAGAATGTCACCTCAAAGATGACTATATTCTAATGAATAAAGGTTTAGTGATTGTCGGCGCTCTTCATAAGGCTTGGATATGGGCCACCGGAATGATTTCGTGCCTCACCTTTGGATGCATTCCAGATGGTCCTTATCCTTTTGGAGTGAGAGAGGAAATACCGTGTTTCTATACTCTAAACGGGGACGACTGAAACTTTTGAAGATTATGTCGAAAGTTCTTCTGTCAAACTGGCCAAAAATGCGCCTCAATGTCACCAGTGCAAGGTTTGCTCGAAAAGAATTTTTGTCACAGTTAGCGTAAGACTTCAAATGGTAGGGCACAAGCACTCCTATATCTTTGCCAACTTGGGACACTTCTGGAGAGGGGTTTCTTAAGTTATAACTGTAGTCTGTAACATGTCTCAGATAGACTACTTTGAAGTGTTAAAGGTAAATCAGTCGTCATCTGACCGACTTTGAAGTCGAGTCAGATCCTCCTTAAATGCAAGTATATCCTCTTGGTTGACTATGCCTCTCCAAAGTCTCACATCATCATCAAAAAGTAACAAATCTGGCGACACCGGTTGAGGAAGATTGTTTATGTAAATCAAGAAAAGAAGAGGTTCCAGTAGTGAAAACTGGGGTCGCCAATAGCACATTCCATGGCCCGAGAGAGTGAAGTTAACCCTAACTTTAGAGTCTTCCCCATAATTTCAACATTTCAGTCGTTGAAGTAGTAGTCAAATTATGTCAGGTTAGAAACCTTAATTTATTAAAAACCAATATTCTTTTACTATGATAATTGTTCTTGAATAAAAATTAGTCGAAACCTATGCTGTTACAGATCCACGGAATATTACTTCATGAAACTGAAGTACTCTTCATTTCTACGTCCGTTTTGACAAATACTCAATCTCTTCATAGGTTAGTGATAATGAAGTCCCTACAACAGGTTTACTGACATGTACATACATAATATCGACGTCACAACAGCATTCAACGTTAGGTATTGCTTGATGTGCAAAAGAGATGTAAGTAGGTTTCTCCGTCTTATTGAAAATACTGCAGCTGCAATTAACGAAATTAGTAGAATTACACTTGTCTGAAGAACAGAATGAAACAACATCTAATGATTCATGAATATTAGTAGATTTATCTGTTAGTGATGAGTTCCTTAAGTGATCACTTTTCATACGTTCTTCACTAACCGCAGTTTGATATAATTGACAACCTTTTTGAATATTCCGTAACTCGAAACAAAAATACCACGCGTCATCGTGTTTAGTTCACGAACACATGAAGCATCCTGACAGTAATTGGGCGGAACCACGAAAGACCTACAGTGAATAGAGGGTGATATTGATTTACATATTTGAGTTTGATAACAGTCAGGAAATGACGAACCATTATTATAACAGGGTGAGAGAAAAACATCTTGCGAGTAGTCACGAAGGCAACAAACCCTAAAGTATCCGTCCCTCCATTTCTTAGGGAATGTGTTCTGTACGGATGAAGTAGCAACATCCTGAGTATCAATACTAGATGAACAACATAAATTTTCAGGTATCACAAGAGAGACATTCCTGAGAAAATGGTTCGAAAGTCCAACAAACTATGTCACAAGTGTCAACTACTCCAAACCGTAAGAGGACACTTGAGGAACTTGTTAAGTTTGAACGAACAAACGAAAGCGATCCTATACAGTTCCAATATGTATTTTCTCCAAAGTTACTCGGACTAATATCTGACTGTAAATCCTTGCTAAAAGCGCCACAAATTACATTTAGATTTTTTGCACTCTCTTGAGCAGAGAATTCAGACGATGAAACTTGATGATGTGCAGATTTATTGTCAATTATTAGATTACAACGTAAATGTTGCTTTGTAATCGGGTTGATAAAGAACGAATCATTTGGTGTTTTGTGCTTAGTACTCTCATATAAATGAAAACATTCAGCTAGTCTCTTTCGATAAAACTGAAAAGAAACAATTAGTGATACTTCATCATGGTTTAACAGTCTGTAGCTGAGAAGTGACATGTGATTTTCCCATCTGCTTCCAAGAATCAGGCTATATGGTGTTCACAATGTTTTGTTTGGTGTTTTCAGTTGGTAGAGTACATGCTGTTTTACTATCAGTATGACTTCTCAAAACTTCATTTTCCTCATTCTCGTCAATTAAGTCTGCTTTCACGTCTGTATCGAAATTCACTGTTTCTTCTCTCCGTTCAGTGGATTCTTATCAGTTTTATTCGTTCGCAAATTAAGCTGGAACTGTTACGCCTGTTGTCGATTTCAGCTAATGAAAATATATTTCCACTTAGTTCTGGATAGAATGAAACTGATGCTCTCGTTTTAATGAATTCAGAACATGGTTCCATATGAGAATAGTGGGTTCCTTTTATAACTTCCTTATGCGTGGTTGAAAATGCAGTTTCAAGGTTATCCTTAATCAAAAGGTTTGATTAAATTTTCTATTTGATAGATCAGTCTTCACATTTCCTTTGAGATATTTGATATTGTCCGGGATTTTTAGATCCAACGCTATTTATTGTATATGTAGGCTGGTTTCTTTTTGCTTTGCCGAAAATTACATTTTCTGAATCCGACTAAACAAAATATATACTCTACTTACACATTTGTTGTGGAAACACGGAGAACGATTAGTCAGCCGTATTCTCAATTATATGAGACTTAACTAAAATAGCTAGTGTTTTTTATTCATACACAAGTGCATCATTTTTACTCTTAGTAAAATTCATTGTTTCTTCATGTATGGTTGAAAAACTGGGTGGTGCAAACCTAGAACTGCCTGATTTGATATCAGCTTGTACATTGGATAACTCTGGAGTTTCAAACTCTAGGAAAGTAAAGGTACTTACATCTTCCAAAGCTTCTCCGTCAAGTGTGATTCAATTGGTGCATGCTGTGTTTTATCGGAGAATCTTACTTACTTACTTACTTACGCCTGTTACTCCCGATGGGGCATAGGCCGCTGACCAGCATTCTCCAACCCACTCTGTCCTGGGCCTTTTTTTCTAGTTCCATCCAATTCTTGTTCGTTTTTCTCATGTCTATCTCCATTTTCCGGCGTAATGAGTTCTTTGGACTTCCTCTTTTCCTTTGACCTTCAGGATTCCATGTGAGGGCTTCTCTTGTGACGCAGTTGGGTGCTTTCCTCAATTCCTATATAATCCACTTCCATCGCTTCTTCCTGATTTCTTCCTCCGCTGGGATCTAGTTTGTTTTCTCCCACAGTACGTTGTTGCTAATAGTGTCCGGCCAATGGATCTGAAGTATTTTGCGTAGACAATTGTTAATAAACACCTATATCTTCAGGATGATGGCTTTCGTAGTTCTCCAAGTTTCCGCCACATACAGTAGAACTGTCTTGACATTTGTATTGAAAATCCTGACCTTGGTGTTGGTTGACAGTTGCTTTGAGCTCAAGATGTTCTTCAGTTGTAAATATGCTGTTCTTGCTTTGCCGATCCGCGCCTTCACATCTGCATCAGATCCACTCTGTTCATCAATGATGCTGCCCAAATACGTGAAGGTTTTTACATCTTCCAAATCTTCTCCGTCAACTGTGATTAGATTGGTACATTCTGTGTTGTATCGGAGAATCCTGCTTTTCCCTTTGTGTATACTGAGACCTATTACAGCAGAGGCTGCTGCCAGACTGTTCGTCTTCTCCTGCATCTGTTGTTGCGTTTGGGATAGAAGGACCAGATCGTCTGCGAAGTCTAGATCATCCAACTGCATCTTAGATGCCCATTGTATCCCGCGCTTCCCTTCAGACGTTGATGTCTTCATGATCCAGTCGACCACCAGGAGAAAGAGTGAGAGTAAGCAACCTTGCCTGATCGGAGAATCTTGCTTTTCCCTTTGCGTATGTTGAGACCTACTACTTCTGAGGCTGCTATTGCACTAGTCGTCTTCCCATGAATTTGTTGTTGTTTGTGCGATAGAAGAGCTAAATCATCTGAAAAGTATAGATCGTTCAGCTGCAACCTAGCCGTCCACTGTATCACATGCTTCCCCAGACATTTGGACGTCCTCACGATCCAGTCGGTCATTAGGATAAAGAGAAACGGTGATCTATCATTCATTTGTTTATCGAACGACACATATTTAGCGGACATTATCAAACCAGGATCTACATTTTTTGAATTTCTGTCATTCATGAATGTAACTTTCCTAATTGCTTACTTACATTAGCTCGATGATGAAACATAGTGGTTTTTATCAGTAAGGGTTTTGTGGGGATTATAGTAATTTCAGTAGTTGAAATCATGAGTCAGTTGAAGCTAGACCGCAATAGAAAACCTGGAAGTTCTGGACGGCCGTTTCCTTTTAGTATGGGACTCCTCAATAGTGCACATCCATGATCCCGTCCCCTACGAGATTCGAACGCAGGACCTATCAGTCTCGCGGGATCGCAGATGCGCGCTGCTGGGGTGTCCCATACTGGGACGAAACGGCTGTCCAGTGCTTCCAGGTTTTCACTAGTGGTCTAACATCAATCAGTTCACGATCTCAATCAATATCTTTATAATTTCCACAATACTATACTGATAATTACCATGTGCTCACTAGTGGCTAGCTTCGTGAGGAACTTCTCGAAGTTCTAGTGAGAAGCCGTGACCAGTGGGGCTAATCCGTATCGAGTAGAGACAGGTATCTAACTCAGCACAATGGAAGATTGTTGCGCAATTTCGTGGATTGGTTGAGGTTAGACATTAACACCGACTCAGTGGTCTAGGGGTTAAGCGTTCGCGGGCGAGAATGAAGGCACTGTGTTCGAATCCCGCGAGCGGTGTCGAGTATGTGAACTGCTGAGAAGTCACATAATAAGATGAAATAGCCGTCCAATGCTCCTAGGTTTTCAATGGTGGTCTAACATCAATCAGCTCATGATCTTAATCAAAAACATAATAATTTCCACAACTCTATATCTGTCAATCATATAATTCCAATAGTTCGTTACAATTTCGATTGTACGCATTCATATGATTCAATAATTCGACTTGAATCTACTGTATTATCTACTCCAAATTTTGGCAGTAGAAATAGAATATGGAGACTTTTCATAATGTTTATTTTCCAAATTGGTCACCTACATTTGTTGAATACCTAAGATATTTGATGTTAAGGCTTTATAAACCTGATTTTTACACATTTCTAATACTTTGAGGGCTATTATTTGTGAGTTGGATAAACTGTTGGAATTTAGTCGAAAATGATTAATTTTAACTTATAAATTTATTTCGGACATTTTACTCTGTAAACATACAAGGATATTGAATGGTTGAATTCACAAGTCAATTGCAGCTAGACCACCATAGAAAATCTGAGAGCACTGGACGACCGTTTTGTCTTATTGTGGGACTCGTCAGCAGTGCGCATCCACGAACTCACCTCGCGAGACTCGAACCCAGGATCTATCAGTCTCGCGCGTAAGCGCCTAACCACTAGACCACTAAACCGGCCGTCATCCAACGGTGTTAATGTCTAGCTTCAACCAATCCACATGCAAGGTTACACTTGTATTTTGTGATTGAACATAACTTTTGTTCTGATGATACATTTTTTTACGTTGTTGAAATTAATGTCAGTAAAACAATCTACAAATATATTTCCGAAAGATTCATTCTCAATATTACTAACTAATTCATGATTATTTTCTATTGGAATTAACATAGATATTGGTGATTCAGAGATAGAAGTTAGTACTTTCAAAAATTTAAAGCAATAAGTCCCCTTGATAAATTTCGATAATGCAATTATGAGACGAAGTTTAGCGAAACTAATGTGCTGATACATTAGCACAATATATTTCGAACAATCTGATCACACATAATGTAGTTGTTAAGAACATTTTTATATGAAAATTAAAAGGTCAACTGAACAGAATAAACGTAAGCCGTAACAAAGAAAAAAAATAATGATAAAGTACACAAAAACAATGTGATAACCACTCTGGATAATAAATCAGTATTACCAGGGTAGATCAAGTGTAAGGATGAATTGTTTTTGAACACATAAAGGTTTTAGTTTCCGTATAACCAAGGCTTCAATAAACCTTAGTATACGTCCTTGAATTCGTTTGTATAACGCTGCAAATGCTAATTTGCTGTCAACCTCATGACGAGTCTCAGCCGTGGTATGTAGTTGGACACTCTCAAGGTCTTTTGGACGTCGCACAAAGGTCGCCTATAAATTATAGTCTCACCAAAATTCCATCTAAAAATTAATAACGAAATTTCCATTGGTATTATATTCCCCCAGAATGTGCTTGTTTGGTGCTAAAACTTATTTATTTTATTTAAACATATAAACATTGGTAAAAGGAGGCACCACGGAATCGGTTTCCAGTGGATTCGCACCAATGTCATTTAAAGATGGTTGTGAGATAACACAAACTGACTGGATTCAGAAACGTAAACCACTAGGATTCCCACTCTCATTATTCTAGAGATCAAACACTTCCTTAAAGATTGGAAAATCCTAGGTCCGATGCCTAATAGGATCCCGATCCTAGGACGAAACAGTAATCTATCCAATGCTATCTGATTCCCGTTGGTAGCCTAACTAAGGTTAGTTTGTGATGCAAATTAAGCGACTCATAACAGATTTTCACTGAAACTGAAAGAAAATTCTCTAAATGTATGAAATTATTACTATTATTATTACTACTATTTAAACACATAAATATTGGTGCAAGAAGGCACGATATAGATATGCACCACGTAAATCATCCGATTTGTATGAGCGCTAGGATACTGTCTAAAACGAAATAAGCGGTTTTCTCAAGAGGCCACACCCCAAACCTTTGATTTGGAGGTCTAATCCATAAGGTAGTAGAACAACGCCGAAAGATACAGTCCCATGGTATCTGGTGACCACTAATTGGTTATACGCTATTTGTTCCTTCAGGATCTTCCAGGGCTGGTTTAGAACCAGGGTTCGCCAACTCCTATAGATGAAACTTCTGTATTCACTAACCCGCCTAAAGTGCAGCACATTCGCTTTTCGTCCTCCCAATTTCATAAACAACAGTAATGCCGCGAGAAGGCAGTGAGTAGAACTTCTCTGGCAGTTGTTGTATGCACGTGGCCACGTGAGAGCACTTGGAGAGGGATAGCTGACTCTCCCCACTCTCGGTCATAGCAGGACATTTGAGGACCACAATACATTACGTGCAAAAACTTGACTAGATATTAACAGATTTTTGTTATACAATAGTTTAGATTACTGTTATAACTTGTGGTCTGGGTGCCCTGCTAATGTATAACGTAATGACACCGCCAATTAGAGAGGAGTGAATTATCGATAGGACCAATGACGCATAAACCCCGTACAAACAGTCTAGAGTCCTTATTGGTCCTGCTTCTTGCCTAGCCCAGCCATTGAAGTCCAGAACACCAATCTCAGCCTCTGCAATATGAATCTTTTTTTCAAGCATACTGAGTTCATATGCCAAGCAGACAGACCACACCATACCATAAAATATCAAACAACATTTGTACAAGATCTAGCCAAAATTGGCTGTGAATGTGGGAAATAGTAATTGATAGACTTGGCATAACTGAAGAATGGTAAATCGTATAATAATAGTTCACAGGTCAAAATAAAGCTTATATAATAAGAGAAACACGAATATAAATAGCTTAATTACTTAACAATGATACAATAAAAAATATATGTATAGTATTGGTTCATAAATGGATCCCAAAAGCTACTATTCATTATGCTTATCGGGACATAACAATTACATTCTCAATAATTTTCTAAACCTTTTATATCAACAAAAAGATCCATATCCAAAGATGCCATTGCCTCAGTTCGAAATATTGATACTACTGATTCTAACAAGTATCTGTTAATACAATCACAGGAAATTTCCTACCGTTTATATCCACATTCGAAACCGTTTGGTTCTCGAACAAAAATGAACACCTGTAATCAAAAGTACATCTAAATTCTGAATCCTACAGCTTCGAGTCAAACAGATCCTTTTTTGCTGTCTGACAAACCATTATTTTGAGCTCTGCTATATAGAAACAACAGTAAATAAGATCATTTCGTTTTCATTGATTTCCCTTTATAAAATTTCCCATGTGATTGTAGTAATCTGAACCGATATTGAACTGTTCTATATCCTAATGTTTTCAGAGCTACTTAAATAGATACCTAGAAAGTTCACTACATTTTCAACTACATATGTGAGGATTTTCTTTATTCAACTAAACAAAAAAGGTAATCTCTTTGTTTTCCATCAAAATGGGATGTCAAAAGTTATTTCGTAATCATCCAGAATCTGAGACAGAAACACAACGCTCACTAAAATCTTTAAAAAAAACTCAGTAAAGCTGTGACAGATCGGTATAACAACTCGATTTTTAACTAATTAGTTATATGATCAAACGATTTCACTGAACATAACACACAGACATTTAAATCATTTTTTATTATGAAGAAAGAACTAGGATACTTGTATTTCTAATAGTTCCAATAGCATTTGTCTTAGTAAATCACCAAAAGGATCGACTGTACAAATCGCATGAGTAATATCATTGTACATACTTAATTTACTGTTCCTAGTAATTTAACTGTTGTATATATGGTATCTCATTTATAAATAACTCGATTAAGCCTGAAATAATGGTCTCTTTGGAACACAGATATCACTGACGAGCAAAATATATTAAATAAGTTACATGAATCAGTAAACAATAACAAAACAAATCAGGTGTATAAATACTACACGTTATTTAACTATCTCTATAATTTATAAATTTTCAATGTGGGCAGAAAACAAGGCACTTTAGTTTACTTGGTGATAAACTACTTAAACCTAAACTTAGTTGCTGAGTTCCATCAAAACTAGCAACTAACTGAATAGATAACACATGCTGTGATGAATCTATAAGACAATCCTATACAAACCTATACTTCATATTACATAACTACACCATGATTGGTTCATCACAATGTTATCAGTCGTTTTTCTGAATAACTTAGATTTTTTAAGTATATCGTAGACATGTGACTGGAAGTACTGATTTTGTAAACGGAACTGCTACGTGGTTGATTGCTTGAATTACTAATTGTCCGAATGCAATTCTAATATTATTACTGTATTAATCCATCTGTAATGGTTATTGAAGTCCAAATGCAATTATTGGTTCCAATCAGTTGATACAAACAGTATACTTGAGGTTATATTTCTTTAATAGTTGGCAGAAGAGGGATCTATGGCACGAATTTTATTGTATGAAACTCGTCAGCTAGCTAAAATAATCAATTTTTCTCTACAGGTAGTATCGAAGAATTCACTCAAAAACTTAATACGATGACAAATGTTGGATTAAAGACGTCCTTAATAACAACAATTATTATTTAATTGGACACATCGGTACATATGCACCACACAAGTCACTTGATACGTATGTGGGCCGTGATACTGCCCTGGTGCCTAAACTGAAGCAGATGGTTTTCTTAGGAAGCCACACTCGGAGCCCTCAACCTACAATTCTGATCCACAAGACAGTGGAACAACGTCAGGAGATGCAATCTCATGGCAGTCGGTGACCGACAATTGGTTCATACGCCATTTGTTTCCTTAGTATCTTGGAGCCCATGTACACCATTGGTTTGGAATCAGAGTTTTATAACTCTCCTATGCGGATCTTCCGTATCTACCAACCTGGTTAAAGCGTCGAATATTCACTTCTCATCCTCTCAATGGAGCCAGATTGTTTGGAGAGCTGACTCTCCCCACCTGCGGCCGTACCGAGGCATTTGGATGGAATAACCAGTACCAAAGTTCTTCACGCAAGCAATAACAAGTTGATTTATCATCTAACACAAATCAATTTCACAACCCCTAAAACGTTTAGAAGCAATTAAAAATGAAAAAATGATTATTATCATTATTATTTTCATACCAATATCATAAAACATAGCCTTTTAAAGGGAATTCCAGTCACATAGATACATATATGTAAAAGAAAAAAATTTTTCTTTGTTAAAATAGTTGGCATGAATAAAATAATAACTGTCTTATCAAAAAAGGTGGAAAGAAATGATTTCAAGGAGTAAACATATCCGTAACCATGATATTAACTATGTGTGAAGGACTTCTAAAATCACCTAAAAAGGTTAATGCGATGATCCATCACATTAGAAAACATATATGATATATTTTACAATAAAAACGATTAAACTATAAAAGAAAGTTCAATTAGATCAGTCAAATACAGTCTAATTGGTTTGTATATGATAGTTATAAGTGATTCAACTGATATGCAAAATAATTGATATTATTGCCAAAATTACACATAAAACAAGAATGAATGGAAACCATGATGAAAAACAGTGACGTTTACTATAAGAAAAAAAACGGAGAAATTTTATCATAACTGTTTAACGAATAAAAGAAAGAAAAAATCATTTGGTAGATTAAGCATTTTAATACATTATTTCTTTACAAACTGGGATCACCGGGTAAGTGATAATGAGGTTAGACGTAGGGTATTAGGGAATAACAGTAAATCAGTCAATGAGGTTGTAAATCTTTACCGACTGAGATGGTTGGACCACGTGGTACGTATGCCTAAACACGATGCGCAATGCTGATCAGTGTTGGAGACGGTTGGAAGAAAGTCAGGGGCGGTCAAACCAAAACGTGTCATCAGTGCTAGAAGTCACTAAATTCTAGTCTGAGTAATATTTGTAGATGTAGAATACTTGGTTGGGGTCCGCGTGACTATCTTAACCAATGGTTGGAGACTGTGTGACATGGATCACAATGTCGTAGATGTATACACTCTCTGCCTTCCATTAAACTATGAGATTAAAATCGCTTCATATGTTTCTGTGAACTAATTCTTTCTTCCTGTGCTATATCCTTATATGCAATCTTTCTTTTACATATTACCACCACTGAATTAACTACTTCTATGAATCTAGTGTTCATCTTGTTGTGCTAATGGGGTATAACCACTTGGACCGATGCATATACGTGCCTGGTCTTACGTTGTAGCTGACTGACTGACTGACAAGTTGATGATAACTAGTATATCACCAGAAAAACAAAAAGTATTCAACAGTTCTAAGTAAGAACTACTCTAATTTTCATACTGATCACTGTTTTATCTGTTAAAATCTAACTAATTAAACTCCACAACCTAGTAAACGTTTACATATTTTACTGTAAGAATTTTAATAACACAACTACGCAGCTGTGCTAGATTCAGAACTATAAATCTACAGGTGAATATTCAGTGCTTCAACTATGAAGGTCAAAAATTGTTTTAAGCTAAACAAAAATATTTTTCAAGCAAAGATGGATTGTGACTAGCAGTGGAATAAAGGGTGCGCGTTTCGTCATATTGGGGACTTGTCTGCTGAATATACTTGCGTCTTAGAATTGACGTTCAATCTGGGACTCGAACACAGTACTGTGCGCTTCAAACGCCATTGCGTTATCCACTTAGCTACTGAGTCCTGATAACCACCTGCTTGTGCGATGGGGCGAAGCTTAAGTTCAATTGATGTTGCTTTACTTGTATCTTTCCATTGTTATTTAGGACTGCGATTGATCAGTCTCATGTTGGCATACATGCATCCTGTGCGGATTGCTTCCACATAGCCTTAAGTCACAAGCTTTTTAAGCAACGACAACGAATCTCGAATAGGACGAAACGCGCGTCAAACTGGATTCCACTGCTAGCCACTATCCATCTTTGCTTAAAAAAGTTTGTGACTTAAAGCTATATCGAGGCAATCCGCACAGGATTTACAGGATTTACGGCGGCCTGCTTGAGCATCTGGGCTACCTGTTCCTGCCATCTAGATATTTCAACAAGTTATCTATTGTTGTTTGTTTTAATATATCATTATGTTTATTAATCGCATAACCTATTCTGCTGCGTTTCTGAAAAGTGTACAACCTTTCGTTGTCAAAGTTACAAAAAACTCAATAAGAAACAATATGGTTGCTGGCAATATACAACGAAAAGAATGTACATTATTCAGTTGTTCATTCACTGAAGTGCTAACATCTAACTGGCGATCACTCAATATTTATCGCCAGGACCGACCAAGAAGAAAGAAACGGAAACTTGTTGAAATACTTTGCGCTGAGAATTCTATATTGTACCAAAATTATAATATTGAATAAAGCTAATAATAATAATAATAATAATAATAATAATAATAATAATAATAATAATAATAATAATAATAATAATATGCTAACATGAGACTAATCAATCGCAGTCCTAAATAACAATCGGAAGATACAAGTAAAACAATATCAAATGAATTTAAACAAAAATATAATCTCTACTTTCGTAACCATAATAGTATATGCAATAATTCGCTTTCAGTTTGTAGATTTCTAGTTTCAGTCAAAAGAGAACTTCTGATTTAAAAAAAGACTTTTTAAAAAAAGAAACTAGATTTGTCACAACAATACTATACTTTATGAGATCTTAAAATCCAGCATAATGAATACTGATTATGATAATATTCTATTCAGTACCATGAAAAGTACATTATTCTTTACAATTTTTGATGGATATGCGTAACATAAAATTATTTATTAGGTGATGCATCCGGATAAATTAATTTATTGTCTAGTTTTCTGCTAAATTCACATACTATTTATTTAAAGCCATACTGGCAGTTGAGTACTTTTCATAGATTGGATAAAAATATACTTACTTACTTACGCCTCATAATCTCAATGGAACATAGGCCGCCGACCAGCATTCTACAACACACTATGTACTGGACCACCCTCTCTAGTTCTATATAGTTGTTGCTCATTGTTCTCATGTCTCTCTCCATTTCTCGACGTAATGTCTTCTTTTGTCTTCCTCTTCTCTTTTCACCTTGACGATTCCAAGTGAGGGCTTGCCTTGTGACGCAGTTCTGTACTTCCCTCAATGTGTGTCTTATCTACTTCCAGTGCTTCTTCCTGATTTCTTTCTCTGCTGGAATCTGGTTTGTTCTCTCCCACAGTAATTTGTTGCTGATAGTGTCTGAACAACGGATCCGAAGTATTGTTTTTGTAGACAATTGTTAATAAACACTTGTATTTTCTGGATGATCGCTTTCGTAGTTCTCAAGGTTTTCGCCACATACAGTAGAACTGTCTTGATATTTGTATTGAAAATCCTGACCTTGGTGTTGGTTGACAGTTGTTTTGAGTTCCAGGTGTTCTTCAGTTGTAGATATGCTGTTCTTGCTTTGCCGATCCGCACCTTCACATCTGCATTAGATCCGCCGTGTTCATCAATAATGCTGGCCGGATATGTAAAGGTTTTCGCATCTTCCAAAGCTTCCCCGCCAAAAATATAATATTATCTTATATATTTCTAGATGGAAATTCCTTTAAAAAATATCCCAAATAAATTGCAACACTTCAAATTAATAAAATACTCTGAATTAGTCTACATAATCGACTGATGTAGGTATGAAATTGTGAATAATGCCCTAATATGTTGAATCGAATTAGTTAATTGCCATATTTTCACAGAAAATATACAAGTTAAAATATTAATATTTTCAATATATGAGGGACTGAATATAAATCAGGAATAAAACTTAAGAGATCCATATATTTTGTGAGTCAATCATGTAAACCAATGATAACGTAAATGAAAACACTTTTTTCTTATGCTGAAAAAAAAAACTTACCTAACATACTTTCCGTGAAAGAATAATAATGCAGTAACACTGAACATATTCCAATTCCCCTTATCTTGAAATCGCATTTTGTTGAAAGCATATGCCACATGACTATGGCAATTATCACAAAAAAGGTTATGCTAAAGGAAATAAGAATAATGAATTACGTAAGAAAAACATTTGATATTGAAGGCTTTGGTAAACTGTGATTTATAAGAGTCTTCCATATATGACATTACAAAGATTAGATCATAATGAGAATAATCTACTAATTTTTAGAAAAATATATGAATACACTATGTGAAAACCAGGACACAAAATATCTGGTTTTCTGTGTACTCACATACGATTAATGTTGCTGTAACTCATTACTCAAGGTGAAGGTTTATGTATTTGACTACTGACAGCATTTTAGGCAAAACAATCAATATCACAAGTAGAGGTACGAATGAGTATTTTATAATAAGCGACAAAAGTATCCTTAACGTTCTTCATTGAAAAAATTAAACATCGCCTAACCCCATGCAAAAAAGAGACAGATTTAAATTCTTTTGCATAGTTTCGAAGTAAGTGTTATGCTATATTCACACATGGAAGACTCGGTTTCGATTCCCGATCAAGGAATTGACTTTAGCCCCCAAATGCCCTGGTAAGGTCGAGGGTGGGGTGAGTTCGCTCTCCCTCTCGAAATGTCTTCATATGGCCGCGCGTATACAGCCACTGTCATGGAAGTCCTACTCACTACCTTCTCGCGATATTACCGTTGTTTACGAAATTGAGAGGACGAAAAGCGAATGTTCGGAGCTTTAACAGGGTTGGTGAACAAGGAGAGTCTACCTAGAGGAGCTGGAAAACCCTGATTCCAAACCAATGGTGCGCGTGGGCTGTCTCCAGAATCCTCAGGGAACAAATGACGTATGAACCAATTGTTGGTCACCGACTACCATGAGATTGCACCGCCTTACGTCGTTCCACTGTCTTTTGGACCAGACCTTCAGGTTGAAGGCTTTGGGTGTGGCCCCCTAAGAAAACCACCTGCTTCTGTTTGGGCACCGGGGCAGCATTAAAGCCCACATACGTATCAAGTGATTTGTGTGGTACATATGTACCGAAGTGTTCAAATAAATAATGATTGTTGTTGTTTAGGACGTGATTTAATCCAACAGTTGTCATCATATTAAGTCTTTGAGTGAATTCCTCGATAATACTTGTGTGGTGCATATGTGTTCGTAGCCCCTAGTACCAATATTTATATATTCAAGTAAACAAATATATATTCACACACTTAAGGCATGAGAAACATAACTCATTACAAGAAGATAAAATCTGAGTAATTTAAGACCTCCTAACCGTATCTGAGCGCTTCAACCTCATAAAGCAACAGGTTAGATGTATAAAAGTAAATTTTTACACAACTCGACAACTCAGAATACGTTCTTTTACGTCAGGCGTTTGTGTGAAAGCCAGAGATACCATTCGAAAGATAAACTGACACCAAAACTTGAGACTCGACTGCTGAAAATCGTGTGCTTAGACCAATAAGCTATAGCATAGTAACTTAATACGATACACTATAGCTAGACGTTTTTAGAAAAATCATAACAACATACCACTCGTCCTTTATAAACTTCATTCGCTTCAGAGATGGCATTGTCCCAGACTTCCCGACTCCCAATCAGTTTAGCATGGGGTTGGTAATATCTAAGGAAATTGAAGATCAGGCTGTATTGTCGTGAAACATACATCGTTGGCCATCCAAAAGCCATTTGGTCCTCCTATAGGGAAGTGTTAAAGTTATTACAACAGGGAACTAAAATTTACCCCAATAGTATAAGGGCCTGCAAAGTCATATATAACACCATATGAATTAGCGATTCCCATATGTCCAATAACAGGAAAAAACCATCTTCAATTAGTAGTGATGTTAGTACATATGACAGCATACGTTAACAAGGGAATAGGAGTCCATACAATAGAATATGGGAATCGATGAAGTAAAGGAGTAACTGAGTCTATCCTGTTTTCCATATTATAATATCCAGGATCATGAAATTCAGGAGAGGAATCTAAGCTGCTTTTCTCTACCTTGACAAGTAAAAAAGATGAAAATGAGTACATATGATATTTAAAACAATTAGTCCCTTTGATAAATTTCGATAATGCAATGAGAAGACGTAGTTTATCAGAATTATGTGATATATTTGCGCAATACATTTCGATCAGATTGTTCGAAATGTATTGCGCAAATATATCACATAATTCTGATAAACTACGTCTTCTCATTACATTATCGAAATACATATGATATGAAAAATAAAAAATAAGCATAGATCTACATAGAAATTAAAAGCAGAATGGATTTTATGTAGCATCGATTAATTAGTACACATGCTACATGAAGTGCAGATTTGTCTGCTACATGGAAAGTGATATAATGATACAACAATTATAACCTTGACATTTGTAAATTCAGATTATTTATGGAGTAGAATAGATAACCAACAGTGTGTTCAAGTAGTACAGTGTATGACCATCAGTTATCCTTAAAAGTAGTGCTGCTAGCTAGGGCGGAAACAAAAAGGTTGTGGCTTTTTATACCATTATTCAGATTAACCACCGAGTTCCAAGTAGATGACAAGTTAATCAATGATCGTAAAAATGTACTGACTGCTACCAAATGCACTGCTACGGCCGAGAGTTCAAACTCACTCACGAAATGCTCTCACACGCCACGCGTATAAACCCTCTGCCAGAGCACTCCAACTCGCTGCCTACTCGAAGCATTACTGTTGTTTATGAAATTGAGAGGACGATAAGCATATGTAAATAAAGCAAGAACAAATATTGATGCAGAATAATATGGATCCAGAATATTTCGAGGTTTCTCGTCAGCTGCTTACAAACAAATATGTAATGGAATTTTAAATTGAGATAAGAAATAGTGTAAAACAATTAACATATTAGAATTAAGAAAAAAATTAAGGATGGGTGGTGTAATGGTTATAAATTATGTGATAATTTTGGAGATAGTGAAGGACTCATGGAATTGAGCAGTGATAAAATAGGTTACGTAATAACTGAATGGAATTTGAAAAGCTAACAAAATTTCAGAGGATGAGTGGGCGGAAATGTGTGAATGAAAAGTTGGTTTACGAGTTCGGTAATGGGGAAGGAGGGGAATATAACACAAAATAAATGTTTTAAAAATAAATAAGATTACGCAAATAACCCACTAATAAAATAAAAATAAAATGGATTATCAGAGTAATGATAAATTAACTACTGTATCTTTCTGAATACATAAATCCGGTTTAGGTTTTCTTGTCGCGATCGCTTTGGCAAAACGGAGAGGAATCGTACTTTTTTGCCTACTGATAATTTTAAAAGCGTACAGAATATTGATGGTATGTCCGGTGTCAAGTAAATGTCGAGCTATTGCACTATTGAGAGCCCTAGTCCCTTTCATGCTCAAGTTTTTTGGGACATGCTCAGAAACGCGAACATGTACCCTTCTCTCAGTTCTTCCAATGTATGTACTACAGTTTGAAAGGTAGCTTTGAATTTGTACAAAAACTTGATAACCTTAATGTTTCTGACAAATTCATGGTCTCATTTGACGTCTCATCGCTCTTGACAAACATCCCCTTGGAAGAAACGGCAGAGATCATATGTGAATATCCGGAACTCCTACCTTTACCAATCCATGAATTCAAACAGCTCCTGTTTTGTGCACAAAAAACATAAAATTTAAATTCAACAATGTTCTATACCCCCAGATTGATAGAGTAGCAATGGGCCGCCCTTTGGGCCCAATTCTGGCCGACATATTTATGGGACACCTGGAACAAAAGAAACTTAAGCACGCAATCGATAGTACCACACTCTATTGTAGATATATTGATGACACGTTCCTTGTCTGCAACGATCACAAACACTACCAACTTACTCAGTCTATTTAATAAAGCACACAAAGATATAAAATTTACTATGGAACATGAGGTTGACGATAAATTCCATTTCCTAGATATTGGAATTAGTAGAACATCAGATGGTACATTACAAAGACACATTCATCGTAAAAATACCTGGAGTGGAGTTTATCTCAATTATAAAAGCTTCTGTCCTATATGTTATAAAAAGGGTATTGTACGAAACCTTTTTGACCGCGCATGCAAAATATGCTCAAAGGAATGTCTTGAAGAAGAAATTGCTATAATCACCAACTGCCTACGTGAAAATGCATATCCGGAGAACTTCATGCACAAATATGCAAATACCGACCCTCCGGTTAAGCATGATACAGTTGAAAAGAAAAACTGCTTCCTATACTTGCGCTTCAAAAGAGATGAAGCCACCGGAATAGTCAGTCACAGAATAAATTCCGCATTGAAGGTGGTCTACCCAGCAGCTAAACTGACGACGTTATGGGAAACGAACTTCTCTCTCAAACAAACTAAAATCGACAAGTCCTCTTTTCTCAGTAGCTATAATTGGACTTACCAATTCACATGTACGTGCCACAGCACATACATTGGAAGAACTGAGAGAAGGGTACATGTTCGCGTTTCTGAGCATGTCCCAAAAAACTTGAGCATGAAAGGGACTAGGGCTCTCAATAGTGCAATAGCTCGACATTTACTTGACACCGGACATACCATCAATATTCTGTACGCTTTTAAAATTATCAGTAGGCAAAAAAGTACGATTCCTCTCCGTTTTGCCAAAGCGATCGCGACAAGAAAACCTAAACCGGATTTATGTATTCAGAAAGATACAGTAGTTAATTTATCATTACTCTGATAATCCATTTTATTTTTATTTTATTAGTGGGTTATTTGCGTAATCTTATTTATTTTTAAAACATTTATTTTGTGTTATATTCCCCTCCTTCCCCATTACCGAACTCGTAAACCAACTTTTCATTCACACATTTCCGCCCACTCATCCTCTGAAATTTTGTTAGCTTTTCAAATTCCATTCAGTTATTACGTAACCTATTTTATCACTGCTCAATTCCATGAGTCCTTCACTATCTCCAAAATTATCACATAATTTATAACCATTACACCACCCATCCTTAATTTTTTTCTTAATTCTAATATGTTAATTGTTTTACACTATTTCTTATCTCAATTTAAAATTCCATTACATATTTGTTTGTAAGCAGCTGACGAGAAACCTCGAAATATTCTGGATCCATATTATTCTGCATCAATATTTGTTCTTGCTTTATTTAAATTCATAAAGGGAAAGCAGTCAGTCAGTCAGTACCAACGTAGAACTTCGTACGTACGTACATCAGTTCGAGTTGCCACACCACATTAGCACAGAGATGCATTGGTCGATTCAAATCCCGTAGTGCTAGATGTAGTAAAATTATAAGCTGTAATCAGAAAAATTAGGGTTTGAAGATGTTATTCAAGGATTATAATCCAGTGAAATATATTTGGAAGGAGAAAAAGAAGAACATGAAGAATCCGGAAGTTTAGGTTTGGGAGAACATGAGGAGTGGATGCACCTGTGCCATTGCAAACGATTTTGAGCCGTGTCATTCAATATCACTAACCATCGGTTGCTATCGTTTCATGGATTCCAACCGGGTAGTCTACACCTACCAACATGAATCAGTCCACTTGTCAGTGACTTCATTGATTTGTGTCATGTTTTGGTCTGGCCGCCCCTAGCTTTCTTCCAACCTACTCCTATACCACTGAACATAGCAGATCGAGTCAGTCGGTGGTTGGGCATACGCAACACATGTCCCAGCCATCTCAACTGATGAAGTTTCATCACTTCATCAATTGATTTGCCATCCTTACCTAATATCCGTTTCCTAACAACTGTGTTACTTACTCGATGGTTCCAGGATATACGAGCAATTTTTCGAAGACACCTATGATCAAATACTAGTAACCTCCGGATATCCTCTACTCTTACCGGCCATGTTTCACTGCCATCAAGTAGGACGGAACGAACTGCTGCGCAGTAAACACGTCCTTTGGTTGATAGACGGATATCTCGCCTACGCCATAAATGACGCAAGTTGGTAAAAGCTAGTCGAGCCTTCTGTATCCGTGCTGAAATTTCGTCACACACCAGACTACAAGGGCTGATGAGACTTCCAAGATAAGTGAAGCGATCGACACACTCAACTACTTCACTCCCTATCATTAGTTCGGGTGTCAATGCAACCCAATCATGAAGCAACATTTTGCATTTCGAGGGGGAGAATCGCATTCCGAACATACTTGCATTGTTGCTTAGAGTGGTCATAAGACTCTGCATTTTGTCAGCGTCTTCAACAAATAAAACTATGTCATGAGCATATGCTAAGTCAACAAGCGAACCTCCCGGTAGAAGTTCAACCCTTGGAAATCTAGACGAGGAAAGTGTTATCTCTAAAAGTACGTCGACGAAAAAGTTGAACAAGAATGGATAGAGTGGACAGCCCTGACGAACACCACTTGAGGTAATCAATTCTGATGACAGTTAGCCATAAGCTCTCACTCGACCAGTTGTGTTCGAGTAGAGAGCCCTTATAAGGTTAATGTACTTCTTTGATACTCCTTTCAGTGACAAACACTGCCATAGAACCTTACGATCAACAGAGTCGAATGCCGCTTTAAGGTCGAGAAATACTACCGTTGTGGGGGCGTCTGAATGTGTGTCTGTGTTCTAGAACCTGACGTAGTGTGAATATCTGATCTATACAACCACGTCCAGGTCGAAAACCGGCCTGGTTTTCTCTAGACTGTTCTTCACGAGTTTTGGTTAGGCGTTGGAGTATTATTGAAGCTAATATTTTAGACACTATATTTGTCAAACTGATTCCTCTGTGATTGTCACAAGAGGACTTTTGTCCTTTCTTATAGACTGGCACAATCAGTGATTGAGACCAGTCAGATGGGATTGCGTCCAGTTCCCAAATTCTACCTAAGACCTCAGTTAATCTCACTGCTAATACTGAACCACCATCCTTAAAAATCTCAGGAGTAAACCTGTCAGGGCCTGCTGCTCTCCCTCACGTCAGATTTCCTATGGCTTTTTCAACTTCGTAAAGAGACGGAGGACCTACAGTAACTTGCCATTCAGGTTGACTGTAGATCGTGGGAAACCGAAGTGTGGCTGAAGGCCAGTTGAACTGATCCCTAAAGTGTTCTGCCCATCGTTCCAATCTCCTGGATTGAGAATGTATAATATGTCCATCTTTCTCTGCGAGTGTTTCGCTAACAGTCGGTTTCCTAATACCGGTTTCCTTAACAAGTCTGAACAATTGTCCGCTATTAACTATTGCCGCTGCCTTTTCCATCTCTCGTGCTTTCGCTACCCACCACTGTTCACGATCATTGCGTAGGCTTCTTGTCAGCTTGGGCTTAAGCTGACTCCGCTCTTCATTATGTTCAGAGTCAGGTGGAATACGTTTTCGAGCATCTATCAGTGAGATAGATGCTGCTGAGATCCAGTGTTTCTCCCAAAATTCACGGTTTACCTTACCAGTAGATATCAATGCTGTTTCCACAGCTTTTCGGATATCATTCCGTGCTGCATCGGGGTGGGCATCACATACATGGCTGCCTAACTGTTTTCCTAGTTGTTCCTGAAATATACTCTTAGCTTGACTATCATTAAGTAGGCCCCTAAGAGGTTTCCTTGCAGCGTCTTTTCTACGTCCAGTAAGACGCAAGCAAATACGCGCTCGCACTAGAGCATGATCTGAATCATGGCATGTGCTCCAGAATGAGCGACAGTCTTCTATCACGCCCCTTCATCGGTGGCTGATAGCGATGTGGTCTATTTGGGTCCAACGTTGGGACGAATTAGGGGGTCGCCATGTTAAAAGATATTTTTCCTTATGCTTAAAGTTAGTATTTACAAGGAACAGGCGGTTATCTGAGCATAGCTGCAACAGACGGTCGCCATTATCTGTTCTTTGAGCCACGACACCATAAGATCCACCTGGGTGTCTTTCCCTATCGCTTAGTTTACCTACTTGAGCATTAAAGTCACCGGCCACTATTACTACATTAGAACGCCTAGCTTTTCGGAGAAGGTCGGAAAGCTTTCTGTAAAACTCATCTTTTGCATCATCTGAGCTGCAGTCAGTGGGAGAATAGGCAGAGACGAAGAAGAGGCAACGACGAGTGTCCCTATCTTTCCGGATTCTTACTGTTCCGTTCAGTCGGACAACGCACAAGCGGCTATCTACTGGGATCCACTCTAAGAGAGCTAGTTCTGCTCTGGGACTCAATGCTATACCTACGCCGGCGAGGCCACGGGAAGCAGAATCACGGCTTCCAGATACACGAAGCGTACATCGAGTCGGTTCTTTATTTTGGCATGGTGAGGTCAAATGAATGACGCTACTTGGATCCTGTATGCGCGTTTTGGAGACGCAGCACACATCGATGGCGCGAGATTCTAAAGTCCTAGCTAAGGAAGCCTACTGTTCTATTTGGCAAAGTGTTCGTACGTTAAAAGCTCCTACGTGTAGTTTAGAGTGTGGTTTCAGGAGACCAGGAATAGCGTTCCACGTACTTGAATCGTTTGCCCTAGCGGTGCGAGGTGATAAAGAGACGTGAGGAGGGTTAGTCGGGGAGATAAGGGAGGTATTAGGAGGTGTAGGAAGGATTTGAATGTGACCAACTTGGTCTCGTGTGCTGTTACGGGTATGAGGGCTGATGTCACTTCACGACTGCCCACACCGTGGAAGAGTATTTCTTGAGAAACCTGAAAAGGAAACTGGATTAGTGTTGGTCTTGACGACCTGGGAGCGTGACCGCAGTGCCCAAGGGACAACTGCTTGAGGCCGGTCGCGCACAGCCTTTTCGTGTAAGGTTTTTAATGTGTTAGCTCCGTTCTTCAAAGGGCCTTACCGTCGGAGACGGAAATCCGTGAGGTAAGGTGAGGTGTGACATTTTTAGGGTCGACCTTTTCTAACCCCATCCCTCCTTGTGGGAAGGCAGCATCGCTGTCATGCTGGTTGTCCGAGGGAAACACCTTACTGCTGTCACACTTCTCTACAGTCAGCAGTACGACTTCACCCTCAGACCTTGAGTTGCTGCTTTTAGTCTTACCGTTCACCAATCGACCTGCCTGGCATGGCAGAATCTACAGGAACATATGTTCCAGCCAATATAGCTCGGTTGGTTCATCACGATAGGCAAGCCCGACCACCGCGTCAAGGTAGCAGCTTCGGTCGGGCATAAAGGGAAATATTTGAATGAAAAGTGAATAACCGGCGCTTCAACCGGGTTGGTGGACATGGAGAGCCCACCTAGAGGAGTTGGAAAACCCTGATTTCAAACCAATGGTGTATATGGGCTCCAGTATCCTGAGGAAACAAATGGCGTATAACCAATCGTTGGTCACCGGCTTCCATGGGACTGCATCTCATGACGTTGCTCCACTGCCTTGTAGATCAGACCTTCAGGTCGAAGGCTCGGGGAGTGGCCCCCTAAGAAAACCACATGCTCCGGTTTGGACACCCGGGCAGTATCACAGCCCTCACACATACCGTATGAGGTCTGTGTGGCACATATATATTTGGTGCCTCCTTGTACCAATATCTATGTGTTAAAACAAATAATAAATAAAAATATATACTGACTAATATTACAGAATTTATCATGGATGACAGACTGATATCCACCAGAGAAAGTTACTTTAATGGGGTTTGAACAACAAAAGACAACGCTCAAACTGCCAAATTCTTATGATCGATTCAGGAAATGGTCTATAAATCACAATACTGACCAACGCAGTAATAAACACTGAAACACTCAGCCAAGATAGTGTCAAGCCAGACTGCTACGTATTTTGATTGTTAGTTGAAAAGGGTAAATGATGAAATCACACTCTCCCAACAAGGGAAACGAACCAAAGGCAGTGGCCTTTCGTATTTTGCATGACATTCAAAAACACGATGATAAACAGCTTATACTCTATTCAGAGTTTAATACTGACAAACATCTGTTGTGGAACCACACAGTAGCTCTAAAATGGGTTGAAGAATGAGTTGCAAGAAAGAAGTGCTTCTCACAGCGTCAAAAAAGATAATAACATCTTAGTCATATTTAATGTGGTTATGACCAATTATAATGAGGAAGAATGCAGGTTACAGAACTATTTGCTAATGAGATGATCAACAGAATAAAAATTAGCGAAACAATAACTCATAGACTGACATATAAGATTCAAGATATCAGTTCTTGAATTACGATGCAGAATTTATTTATCCAGCCCATGTCAGTTAGTGATGATAATCCCAATTCGAATTCGAATTTTTCACTTTGGGGATTTCCCCAAAATTCCCCCAAAATTTCCCCTAACTTTGGGGAAGGCTATTTCACTTTGGGGATTTCCCAAAAATTTCCCCAAAATTCCCCAAAGCTGGCAGCTTGGGTCCTAGCGCTAACTTCCAGCAATAGGTCTAAGCCTTAGTTCCTCGCACTAATGTAGACCCTTTGCTAACCTTAATGAGCAAGTGGACAGTCTCAATGTCACACAAAACTCGCTCAGAAAAGTATACGTAGCTTATCTTACATAAAAACTCGCGGAAACAAAATATAGAACGATTAACAACAGTACACACTGAAACACAGGCTTTAAGGTCAAATAAATTACTGACGGTCTTTACCTTTTTTAACAAACATGATGATTACAGGAAATTACCCGGATACTTCACTGAATATCATGGTACAACCTGATTCCAATCAGCATTTAATTAATCGCACTGATTCGTAAATTTACACCATGAAAATTAATGGAAGGCAATTCATTATACCTAATGTTGCTTTACATATGGAATTAAGAACACATGTCCTTTTTCAAGGAGATAAACTCGTTTGGTAAGCAAAACTACATAGTAACAGAATGTAACGCATACCTTCATATTCCGGACTAAAGCCAGTGCATCCAATATCCGAAATCTTAATTGTGAATTTGTATTATTCGATAGACTCCTTTAAGTCCTCTTCTTGTTCTTTCAGTATAATTCGATCTACTTTGTTATGTCTAGTTGGTAGTAGTCTAACAATTTGACTGAACTAATTGCAGTCACTTGCAGGTATTTGTGACTGTATATCTTGCAATCTGACTTAGTGCGTTTGTCTCAGAACAGTGAGGTTTCTGGATTCCATAATTTATCGCATTACCAAGCAGGGGGGTCATTGGTCGCAATGTGGGAAGTAGTGAGATGATAAATCAAGTGTTGAGAAAGGCGACTCTTCCAAGAATGAATAATAATTTACTTTAATGTCAACATATAAGAATGTGGAACTGAAGAAATAAGAGGTGTGACGAGGGTGATAGCAAGAGGGATAAGAATGAGTTGCTGACATGCGGTAGTTTAAACTGTAATGAATAATAAGTCATGCATCACACACAACTGTTCCAAGAGGGAGATGGAATTCCATAGCTGAGCGCGTGCTTGTCAAATATCCTCTTAAAGCTATACCCTTGTAGCGGTAAATAATTCACCAAATAAATAGCTCTGTAAGTTTAAGACATTGGATGCTGACCGCATATTTTAATGGACTCACCTAGCTGAAAGCGCTCGGTCATGCATCCGCACCAGATCACGTGTGCGAACTCCGTGCTCAACATCTACCGCAATCGCTAGCCAGATTAGATCACGTGTTACTGGTAAAAGCGTTGTCAAACACTGAATACCTGTGCCATCTTCATTGGTAAGCCGGACGTGATACGAACACGCAGCATGATCACTTTGGCTGGCAAATCACCACAAATCGGGTCAGCTGTCAATGAGAAAGGGTGAGAGCGTGCTCGAGGGTCTACTAACCCTGAATTACGTTGCGTTGGTTAGCATTCCACCGTCACAATTTCCCAGTGGTCAAACACGGTTTGTCTCCACCAATCTCATGGCCATGAGGTGTATTTGAGATAATCTTCCCTCGTTGCGTAGGCTACTTTAGTGAAGATAATGTAGGTGAAATTCTCATCCCTCAGAATTATCTCGTTTTTGACCACGTAAAACATGGATGCACCATGGTCGCTGTAAGAAATTATTTTCCACAGATGCTATTATAAACTATTTCCCAGACTGTCAAGCACAGTCTTGGCTTATTCGACATCAGAACAAGTAAGCTATTTGTCTTGATAAGCTTTGTCTGTTTCTAAATCGCAAATTAATGCTGTCAGTAAACAAAATAAACAATTTATGCAGTCGGTTAAACAGGGAAAAAGTGATACATGGATAACGTACCTAACATTAACTAGAGAATGGAAAAAAACGAACCGACGAACCAAATATTATTTACGATGAACACAAACTTTGCGATTGATGAATAAACAAGGCAAAATCATACAGGGTTACAGAGGGTTAATCTTGTGCTGGGCGACTAATTGTCATTGGTGGGTTTGTTTATCGACCACACTTTACAGTCACTTCAATCCATCGGTGTGAGTACATGAACTTCCTCAACTAGAAACTGGTCATTCGTCGGTCTGTCATCCAAGCTTGAAAGTTTTTTGTCCCTGTTTCATTTCACGGCGCTACCACACATTCAGCCGGTCTACAACTTTGAATATTCGTGGCAAGCTTCTTAGTAGCATTTAATCAAACAGTAGGTGGGATAGTTTTATCGTCGACTGTATTATCTCATTTTTCAGGACCTTTATTTTCAATTTAAAATGAAGGCACCTGGTTCTGGTTTCTCCTAGCTTACCCCTTAACCGGCTTTCAAGACATTTCACATAAATGGGAAGGTCACTTCTCGAGCTACACCTGTACTGACTATCACCTACCAGCTCATGTACTCCATGAGCCATCCTGTTGGTTGATTCTCTAGCGTTCGCTGACCTACTAGCGGAATTTCTCGCCGAACACGATTTGTCGTGTCTAATTCGAATTTAGAAAGATCACTTGATCGATGGTCTCTGGGATATGATTAATTTTTCTCATTAACGTGTGTTGTATCTAAAATTATCCATAATGGAGGGGAATTACCTTCCGCAACGTTTACATCTTAATGTAGGTGTCACTGTCTCACCAAAGTGGTACCCGTTTCAAGCACCTATTAGTATTTGTACTATTACTCTTTACTGAAGGCTTCCCTACTTTCTGTTAGTCTATCGTATGACACTGAATTTGTAGTGGCATTGGATCATAACCACATAATCCTCAAAGCTGAACGCTAGACTACTCAAAAACTAGATATTCATTATTTAACGCGGAGAAATATCTAACGGTATAGAAGGCGGGAACAAGGAATTGAATTGATTGGAGCCGATCGTATGGCATGGCTCGGACTTGCAGGCGTGGTCCCTGCTGAATGTTACCTTATATCTTTTATTCATATAAAATTTATGGTTCTATCTCTAGCCTAAGTTTGTTCTCTATCATGTATTGGTAATTGTTACAATGTAGTAAGTCGGTGTAGACGATGATGTGACTTCCACGTAAGATCTTATAGATTAGGCAGTTATATCACGACAAATCTACAATTATAGGATTAGGTCTATTATTACAGCAGTACTAATATCATAGTAGACCATAATTCTACAAATCACTAAATAAATACAGATAGTTTTGTTTAACGTCTTTGCTCATGATGTTTAGTAATTTGGAAGCTATGATCAGTACACTTTCCCCCCGAAATCCCACTCACATCTCACAGCTAACAGACGAAGGAGTATTAGCAACAGCCATTAATTTATTTGGCATACAAATCATGGCTCCCATAGTTTCGTTTTTAGTTGAGCTTGTTTTTAGTGATCTGTATATACCGGTGTGGATTAATACAGCTGCTGCCAATAAGGTATTATGTTTCTCTACTGTTAGTTCCGTTGGTGCGTTTTTTTCTACACTCTGGGCAAACGCGTCCTAGCCACAAAAAGGGATGAGATAACAAAGGCCCATTGTCCTGCCTGGATACAGAGTTATCACAGCAACAGAGTAGTGAGGCACTAAAGAAATGATATTAAGTCCATTATTCTGAAGACCAACGATCATGCGATTGGACTATCCTTTTGGTATTTCTTCTGCCCAGTAGTGAGCATCAAAGACAGTTTATAGTCCACTTTTTCTCATATTTCTATTCTGTGAGTGTTGTCCTGATTACTTAGTAACAGACTCAGCTTCATTATATGAGTTAACAAATCCACAGTGTACACGTTACTCCGAGGTTCTATGTCTGGTGTCGCCTTGAGCTTTGTTATAATCCTTTGTTATAGTCGTCGAAAGACATGTGTCCGTGTCCATCGTATGTATCTTGTCCATCCTCCAGCTGAAGAGAACCTCTGTTTTGCATTTTTAACGGCAGCTCTATTTCTAACTGTAGGCGGGTATGTATATTTTATCTTTCCGTGACTCAGTAGTTTTCGTCCATTTATCCAGTAGCATTACTGCGTTAAATGCTTCTAAGAGTATTTCTACCTACCTAACTGACAGTCAGTCTTTTTTCCGAAGTTTTTGTCATGAGATGAGTTCGGAAATGCGCAAAAGTTTTCAAGCATGTAAGGGAAATATAATTCCGATATTTTCAGATGACATGACGTGCACGTAATGAGTAATCAATCCGTTGTCGCGGAATACATCCTAGTAATGATACTATGCAGCTGTCAATCTAGGACAACACAACTGTACAGAGAATTTTTGCTATCATTAATATATCCCAACCTTACTTATTTAGATACCCGGACAACTATCAGGAAAGCTAAATTACATCATGAACATATCTCACAATGACGTGTGATCGAATGTACTTTTTGCATTAGCGATGATCTAATAGCATATGCAATAATCCATAATTACTTCTTTCTATATTCTCAGCAATATGGGAAGGTAGACCGGTATTACTAACCTGTACAGATGCTCATGACAGGTTTATGCGTTGCCATATTCTGCAAGCTCATAGTGTATACCGAAGCTATCTGGAGAAATCGGTCATGTTCATAATATCAAGATTAACATTATTTGGATAACCTAGTCCTCCGGGAACATATACGTAGTACATCTGTCCCGTATGACGCTCGTCTGATTACCACTTAGATTGTTACTGCGTAGGATAACGATTTATTAGCTTCCTCATCGGACAGTAAATACATAACCGTAACTTAAAGGACTATTAAGTCATAAGAAAAGCAGTGCATTCGTCCCGAAATAAAGGTCATGTTGCCAATAAACGAACGTCGATCTACAATGCTCTGGTTAACGACTTTTAAGCAAGTAGGACTGATGCAGTTGCGTTAGTATATTGAGCTTTTCGGAGGAGATAACTTCTGATATGATTCCAAACAATTCCTTAATATAGGGTTCGAATTAGCCTACTGTGTAGTAAAAAAATTTGTTTAGGAGTAAGCGTTGATATTAAAGAACCTAGTGTATCTAATGTGGGCATATTGAACGAGCACGAATGTTTACTCATTTTCATGTATAAATCTCATTGGGCATGTAAATGTCTAATGCATTAATACAATTCAGTTTGTCGTTTCCATTGTGACTTAACCGAAGATGATTCTTAGCGTAAGTGTCAATTTAATCAAACTGAATAATTATGACGTTATTCAGATACTACTGTTATCTCAGTCCATTTATATCCATTCATTGATACTATACTTTGGTCGTTTATTACTGCCGAAATTGCTAATTAATTCAAGCACACAAATATACATTTACGAACATTGATATTAAGGTTCTCACCTAATTCATTTATTCTCAGTCATACCGTCATACAGACAACGAAAACACAGACAATCTTCTTTGAAGTGACTATTAACACATAGCTTGTGTAAGAGTTCTATGTGAAACAAATTACGCGACTCTTAGAAGACAAAAAATGTGAACTAGAAGTCACATTTTATTCAACTTATCGACGTAGAGCTATCTTGTCAGCACTCGTAATAACAAACGCTATGCATATCACCATCACC